AACCTAGTAAATACACTTACTAAGAAATTACCTAACTTTAGCCTTAAAAAGCTAGTTAGTATAAATACACTAAAGATCTAAATTAAAGTATATATTAAATAAATTAAGAAGACTAATTAATAATTAATTTATATAAGGTATTTACCCTTATACTATAAAAAGAGTATTATTTAACTTTAAAACCTTAAATATATATTCTAAACTTAACTAGACTAAAGACCTTAACTATAACTAAAGTATATAAATCTACTATATAAGAAAATATATTTTTACTAGGTTATAAAGAGTATATAAACCTTTTATACTTACCTATTACTTAGCTTATATAAAGAAAAATACACCTTAGATCTAATCTTAATTAAGGATTAGAGGCTTAGTACTAGAGCTAAAGAAGAAGCCTTTTTCTTAACGCCTTTTCCTAAACGCTTCCCTAGTGTACAAGGGTTTTAGCCCTTAGAGACTAATAGTTTCTTATAGTTACCTTAGCTATTACTACTATTACTAAATTACTACTATTATTACCTAAAGAAACCTCTTCTTAGCTATAATAGCTATATTAAGCTTTATAGCTTATCTAGATATACTTATTATATACTTTTTCTTAATAGTTATTTAGGTAATAGTAGTTAGTAAAGTAGTAAAGTATATTATTTATATATTTTTAAGAGTAGGCCTATATAAGTTAGCTATAAGACTAAATAAGTATTATATAAAAGTAGCCTTTATATTAAATTACTTTAGTAATAAACTCTTAGATAAAAGTGTTAGTATTAAGATAAATAGTAATATTATATAAAGGTATATTAATAACCTTTTATTTTTTATTCTAAAGGTTTAATAAAAGTTAGTATATATAAACTATAATAAGGAAAAAAGAACCTTGTATATTAATAGTAAAAGCTAAGAGAAAAGTATAGTTTTAGGTGTTGTCTATTAGGACATAAAGCTAGGTTATACTATTCTAGTCCTATTAAACCCTAAGGGAACTAATAACTAAAGGCTAAGGTCTAAGCTAAGCTATTATAATACATAAAAAAGGTCTATTATAAATTAGTAAAGTTAATAATAATAAAAAGAAGAAAATATATATAAAGTAATAAATAATTAATAAGTTAAAAGAAAAAAAGAAGTTATTAATTAATTAATATACAAGAGAGATAAAGAAAAGGAAGTAGTAAAGTTATTATACTAGTAAAGTTTTATATATTATTTATTATTATTAAAAAAGTATAAAGAAGAAAAGAGAAAAAGAGGAAAAAAAGGTAAAAGGTAAAAAGTATTTATATAAGAGGAGTTAAGGCTACTAATTATATAAAAGGAAGAAAGGTATATAAATATAAGGTAAAAAAAGAAGCAAAGGTAAAGTAAACACTTATTATATAAGTAAGTAACTATTTAAAAACAACTAAACAGTAAGGTATATATAAAAGAATAAATTTAATTAGCTTAGTAAGTATTACCTTATATTTACTCTTAGAAAGAGTATATTTAGAGTTTGTTTTTATTTAGATAACTTTATATATAATAGTAGGCTACTAAAAGTAAAGTTATTATAGGAACTAATTAAGACTATCTAATTAGTTAACGTAAAGGTATATATAATTATAAAAGAAGAAAAGTAAATATTAGAATATTAATACTAATAATTATATAACACCTAGTTAGTTAACTATAAATAGTTTATAATTTAAGGTTAAAGGGCATAGACTAGTTATTTAGCCTTTAGTTATATTAAAAGGGGATTATACTTTTAGTTAGCTAGAATAACTTAAGTTATACTTAAGTAATATATAACTACTTTATATAACAATAGTAAAGTAGACCTATTTAGTTACCTAATAAGAAGTTAATTTACCTCTACGTTTTATTAAGTATATATATATATAAAGCCTATTTAATAAATAATCTTAATAACCTTTACCTAAGTAAGTGTCTTATTATTATTAGTATAGTACTTATAGGTATCTAGTAGTTATACCTTAAAGTAGTTAAGTATAAGAATAGCCTAATAGTAGTTAAAGTTTTTACTATAGAGGCTAGTAATATAGCTTTAGAGGTATTAAACCTTTATAAAGGTATTATAAAAGGTTTTATAGTCTTAGGCACTACCTTTACTAAACTTATTAATAAAAGTAGTAATAGTATCTTTAGATACCTTAGGGATAAACTTCTTAAGTGTTTTTATAAGAGTATATAGGTTACTATTATTAACTTATCCTATATTAAGAAGCTTAATAATTATAAGGTTATAAGTACTAATAATAATACTATAGATAGTATTATATTTATTTTCTTAATTCTTATACTTATTAGTGTTAATTACTAGTTAAAGGACTTTATAATTAATATATTTCTTAACTTTAGTAGTATAAAGTAATATATTAACTAGTACTTACTATTATAACTAGTTTAACTTCCCCTTAAGCTTAAGAATAAACTATATAACTATTTAGTAGTTAACCTTATTAGCTATAATAGTAGTTAATTACTAATATAAAGGAAGATAATATAATATATAATATAGATAAAAGTTTCCCCTAGACTATAGGTAGCCTAATAATATATTAAACTTTATATGTTTTTTTTATAGGATAAAGAGTATATCTAAATTATTATATAAATTACTGCTTATTATTAGACGTCTAAGTAAGAGAAGATATAGGTAAAGGTAAAAGTAGAGTAGGAGCAATATTTTAAGTTTATTACTTATTATTGTTATTAAGAGGTAACGTAACCATAGTAGACAGGTAGTTAGAACAGCAATATAGGCAGCAACTACAACGTTTTATAGATATTACTGTTGACTATCAAAAAAGAAGGAGTAAAAGCAGCTAATTAATTAATCGTAAAGAAAATTAATTAGTATTAACCTAGGCCTTATAACCTGTAGGAGCAGCAAAGTGAGGCAATACCATTGTATTGGCAATAACTGTAATATAAAGCTAACTAGGAGTGGGCTGCCCGCAGTGGGCAGAGGCTGGCTGAGAAGGAGGTGGAGGTGGGTCACGTGACCCATGGGCTCCTCCACCAACATAAGTACATATCTTTACGTTATTACACTCGCAGATCACGACTCTAGACTTTTGTAAGCTAACCTCAGCTGAATAGTTTCAAGCCTTGGACCTTATGACATCGTTCTCATAGCCTTTACCCAGTTGTTAGATGTGATGACAAAAGCGGATCCGTAATTGCCATTGCGCAATTACGGCCTATATAACGGCCTTAGATCAATCCAGTTGCCCAAACATGCTCTTCTTCGCCATCGTTAGATATTTTGCCAACTAGCGCTAATTCCTTTTGTGATGGCACAAGTCCTGCTGCAACAAATGCTTCTCTTCCTTCATCATTCGCAGTCTCACGTGTCGAAAATGGATTATATATTGTAGGCGGCACAGGCAGCCAGGACGAGTCCCTTGGTCCCATGTCTGCTTGCCCTCGATTCCTCACGGTGATGCATACCCTAGTTTACCCTCACCTTCACCATTTAACCAGAATCGATAGGTAGGATCAAGTGTTGTGCCCACGCAAAGCTGCATGAAACCCTCGCGAGGTTCCCGGTGAATAACCTTGGGTTTTCACCTCGTGGATACGAGCACGAGCTTGCTTTAGCAATCAATATTTACACCCATGACTCTCAGCCCCCATCTATCATGGTACTTGAAGCGCTTGGAAATTTCAGCCAGAGTGATGCAGCAGCTCATTGTTGGGGTTGCATATATTCAACTTGAGAGATTGGCCTGCAAGCCATCGGTGGGATTTGACGAGCATATTTAACGGTTTGTCGATAAGCAAATGCTGACGAAGCAAAGCATGTCAACCGAACTACTTGAGTGGCCGTATAACTTCTACAGCAATCATGTTGTTTCCCTGTCAGCCCTTGCACTGGCTTGCAGGCTGTTTGCGGTACGGCGGTGGGTGGCCGTCCTGGCAATTGAGTGTTCAGCTCTTTTGTCTAAGTAATGGCCGCCACCTGAGTCTTTTTAAACTAGTTTTCTCCTCGTTCCGTCCTCTTCAAAGCTAGTTTAGGTGCAGAAAGTTGCAAGCAAACACTGCAGATCAACGCTTACTGTGTTTTGGCACAGAGTGCCAGAGGCCAACACTCTCCTCAGTAAGACGGTATGATAATCGAATAACAATTGATGTCATTCAAGGGCACTGGAGCTCAATAGATCTTGTACAACACACAAGTCTTTTCCGCAAAGAATTAAAAGGGAAATGATTTTCTGAGAATGCTGCAAATGTGCATTCATTCAATCCGTACGACGGCAGGGATGTCCTTTTCTGTAAAAGCCTGCATATGAGCACGACATGGCTCATCAGGCAGGCAGGTCCGGTTTGTGTTATCCCAAATTCCTTTCTCTGCTTTTCGGGTAGAGAATGCATGATTTGCCAAATGGCGGTGGACATTGTGCGGGTGAGGCCAGGATACCATAGATATATAACAAACATGGCCTTCAATCTAGACGACGACAGACAAATTGATCCGTATCTGCTTGGCAAACCGGTTATCATAGACTATCTTTGGCGTCTTTTCAGCGTAAACCATACATAGATCGGGCTGAAAAAAATCATGGCATTGAAGCCTCTCGTGGCTTTACTGCTGTTTTGGGCATTGGCTCAGACCGAGTCCGTCCCTGATCATAGACAGCATTTTGCCGTGCGGAACGTCCAGAACTCATCGCAGCCGCTAATCCAACCAACATGTGAAAATAGGCCTGGTCATTGTCTGACGAGCATGGAACCAGGCCTGAACATGACCAAAGTGGGTTGAATCGCAGACAGCCTACTACCCTTTGGACCAGATAACTAAACATGTCTAGACAAGTGATCCGTTTCCGAAGAACTCATCGAGCAACCATATTGAGTTATCTACCTCGAGGGCGACTGTTCCATTAGCTACAGGCACCTTAGTGGCGCCCGTTTCTCGATCCTCCTGGACCGGCGCCATCTCTCCACCTTCAACGATCAACTCCCGAAGTGTTCTCTGGGCCAACTCTACCATGTCGACTGACGAAGCTACTATTACGGCCACTCTCGCAACAACAGTTGACCGCACAAAGATAACTCAGAACCCGTCAGAAGTTCCCATGCTTGGGAATTATTCGACATCGGGGCTTGGTCCTCCGTCACTGTCACGTGCTTCGTCCTTGTCATCGCCATTATCGAAGACCCCTGCAACCGTTCAACCTCGATCAAGCGAGACATTCGCAGGTTCTAGCCTTGAGCAAACGACGGGGTCTATGTATACCGTATCTTCCTCCGCGTTTGAACTCCTATCCAGACTTCCGAATGTGACGTCGAGTAATTATCCGGATGCCAGATGGACACCGCCCATAGTTGTTCCTTCTATCTCAATGAGTGTCTCAGCCTCGAATAGTGCCTCGGCCTCGACAACTGATCCACCAACGATAACGGTCCTGCCACCCGAGGCGGTTCTCATTACACCGACTGGCATTATATTGACAACCCCGCACTATATCACGACAACATCACCAGGCGGCAGTGATCCAACCATAGTTCCAGGTCAGGCTTGGAAACGATACATAGTGCCCTGTTTTACCCATAACTGACAGCATCTAGTTATCTTCCCAATCACAGGACCTCCAATTATCTGCTTTGGCTGCTACATCAAATTCCCTCCCAACATGTCGATTAAAGTCCCCCAATTCTGCATCCAACTCTTTGGCCTCAAGATTGGCAATTGCCCGGCCGACAATAAGAAAGACCATAAGGATAACAATAAGGACGACGATGACGACAACAATGACGATGATGATGACGACGACGACGACGACGACGACGACAAAGATTCCAGCAAAACCGGGTCCACAACGCCGACCTCCTCAACCTCGTCTTGCACCGTAACTGTCACTGCCACCCAACAGACAGTCTTCTGTTCTATAACCAGAAGTAAGTCTTGCTCAGAAGCCATTAAATGTCTTTAAGCCCCAATGCTGATGTTCCTATCTTGTTAGGCGTCAACTCCGGTACCCCAGCGCGTACTGCTGCGAGTACTACGTGTCTGACTAGTGCGTACACCACTGTCACCGGCTGCAGCGTCCTCAACTCGATCGCCACGGTAACTACCACACGGTCGTCTATTCCCACACCATACCCTCTCTGTGATTGGCACTGCGACAGTTGGGAATGCACAGTACCTAAGCCCGGGAGATCAGATCTTTCTATGCGCCAATTGATGAAAGTCGGAACGGCAGACGAACATGAATTAGCGGATCCGATAACCGACATACCCCGGCTGATGTCTCGCGCCGACTTGACCGACTCAAAAGTATCAAGACGCGGCCAACCATACCTCGGAGAGTGGGTAGATCCAAGCGATTATGACGATGATTACTACGAGTTCATTGTAGACCAGTTCAAATTTATGCGCACGCAGGACCAACTAAGACGCCAAAATCTAGGAGACCCGTATCACGAAACTAAGCTTGTGCTCAACGGCCCCGGTATCAATGATCCATTCGAGAACGCGATAAGTGTCAGGTCAAACTGGCTCGTTTTCGGGGATACAGTTCAAACGTTGGGAGCCGAAGGCCTGCTGGGCTGCACGATATTGTTGGTCGTTAGCCGCAGAGGTGCGTGGATGGCTAAGTTCTTTGAGACAACTCTTAACGATCCCGAAATGCTGAGAGAAGTCTTGGAGCGGATGAGATTCGGACCCAGGGAGGTAAATGATGCGAACCAATATTGGCAGTATGGGATCGCAGACCTTATGAACCACCCAGAGCGTGGGAAACTCGGTACTCTATTCGGCGATCGAGACGGATTGACGAATGAAGAAGACCCCATTCAGGCCCTTATCTTCACCCCTCGCCCGCGAGGATATGTTAACGACGCCGACGGCAATATTATCGATCACCCAGATACACACAGCTACTACGTCAACGAGGGCGAGCTGTTGTACCTTGACTCAGTTCGGCACATCGGACATATCCTTACTCTACTAATCCCCCGTCGTATTTTAACCGTCATAGACTACCCTTCAGTATTGCCCACTTTGGATGAACTGTCTGATCCCGACTGGTCATCAAAGTTGGTTGATAGGGCTGCTGACACCCCACGTGGAAAGGTCATGATCCAGTACCAACCAGCAAAGACATGCAACGATAAGGCCTCGATGCGCTGGTGGGTTGATGCCATGCCGATGGAAAACGCGTACCCCGGCTCAAAAGTGATGCATCAGTGGGACCCAGGAGCTGATCAAATCTTCACCCGACCCCGACAGGCAGGCGCACGCGGACTAGCCCCCAGACAAGAGTGTCCGGTAAGAAGCAGGCCAGCCTCCTCTGGCCCCAGTCCTACTTCATCAGAGCCGCCTCAATCTCCACAATCAACACCACAAGGAACCCCTGGGCAACCTACGAGTCCGGGGGCAAGTGAAGGAGGAACACAGGTGCTTCCAACTGGGTCAAAGATTATCAACGGTACAGGGGCTCCGACTCCATGGAACGATTCAATGACAACAGTCCCGAGCAGCAGGGATGGCACCGTGACATGGCTACTTCCGACATTGCTGTCATCTTCGAACCGGACCTTCGCTTCTCCACTTCGAAGCGTTATCACAAAGACAACTCTAAGTGGCAATGGTACAGCCAACGTGCCTACAACGACATTATGGTCATTGAACGGGACGGCGGCTCCAGTTCCTGGTGCCAACTCGACGGTCCTGAGCTCGAACCTAGAAACAATGAACAAAACCACGACGAAGACCAGCACGGCATTGATCGGGACGAAAAGTACAATATTGGGAACTGGAATGTCCACATCTCAGCTGACCACAAACAAGACCCCCTCCATCCACACTACAATTTACGTGGCCCCCCTAACATGGTCGGTCACCTCATCATTACCAACTACTTCGTCGACAACCCCCCCCATAAAGCGAGTTACAGTCACCGCCTCGGTTGAGAGGTCGGTCGTGGCAACGATTACAATATTCACGTCAACAGTAACAGTACGACCTCCAGAACCAAAGCCTAGCCGGCCAACCAAGCCGGAACCGACAGAAGCGATCCTCGTCATGCTCGAGGACGTCCTGGCTGGGGGGAGTAGAGGGGTGGTTTTCACCGAGATGTGGGTGATGCTCCCGGTGAAAGTTGACACCACCGTCGACCACTGCAGCGTCTCAAATATAGGATACAAAACCACCGACTCATCCTCGTCAGACCGAGCGTGGCCCCCAAACATAAGCGCCAAGAAGGGAAGCAATGCTTTCGGACTGAGAAACTGCAAGTACGAAGCAAGCAACGCGGGGTCTGGCTCGTTAAGCTGCGATGGGGCTTCCAAGATGAACTGCGTCAAAGATCCGGAGTATGATAAGGTTTCCAAGTGTTACAAGGGCTGGGAGATCAAAACTTACACGTCACGCATGCGCTGCATGCTTCGGAAATAGCGAAGAAAGATGGCAGGACACCACGGAAAAGGCCATTCTTGTGTAAAGACGATGCCACCGCACCTTTGAGAAGATCAGCCATAGCCTTCGTTACGCATATTGACGGGGCTGACAAAGAAATGCCATCTTCGCCTCGTGTGTAGCGTCGACCTGCTGCCTAGTATTGCATATGTGCCAGATGACTCCCCCTATCTCCATCTCCCTTCCATGTCCAGGACTAGCCTATCCATCGCAAACGCCAATTACCTTGAGCCTCGAGACATCGGGATTCGCTGTCGGTGCCGCGAGCTCATTTGACTGGCGAAGCTAACTTTTCACATCTATTGATGCAGAGGTCCGGAGGATATATAGAAGACAATTGCGGTGATGTGGGCAAACACAGGTAGGCTCTCTCCCCTTTATTGACACGCTAGGTCTAAATTTGCCTTCACAATAATCATCAATGTTCCGTTCATTCATCATCACCATGGTACACACCCCAACATCTTACGGCTATCAGCCCATCAAGGTTTCGTACCCCTTGTCCATCATAACGTCCATCCAATAGATATCGTGCTGTTGACTGTCCATGCAGGCCCAGGTCTCTTTGACAAGCTTCAGCATTTGTCTTATTGGCTTAGCAGCCAAAATTCCCTCAAAAGATGTGAGCCGTGAAACTACGAGTCGTCTCGCATGCAGGACATCAGTGACTGTTGGCGACACCTCCATTCTTGGACTAGACCCGATGCTAGCGACGGCGCTCCTTTTCATGTATGGAGCTGGCACAAACGTACGACCGAGCGAAAGCTCGCTGCAAATGCTGACAAGAAGAAGGGGTTGGATAGACCGAGATCGTGAGGAAATCGGAATATCCTGCACAAGATCGATTACATGGAGGGCAAGACTCGTTAGCCATGTACCTAATATGACACCGGAATCTTCAGAGTGGCTGCAATTAGCGCTTTCGGGCGTCTCCACCCCATTTGGAGGGCTTGTGAGAGTGACAGGCGATGTGCCGTCGAATAAGAGGTCGGGGAAGTTACGATAGAGTTGCAAAAGCCCGGTGCATCTGTAAGCCTCTGCTGTTTTTAGTAGATGATCGGTGGGAGTCATATCATCTCCCGAGTTAATGACTGCTGCTTCTGCTGGAAGGTCTAGCACGCATAACTTGGCTTGAAGCTGTTCTGCGGATCGTATGGCGTTGATGGACTGTTCAATATCATGTCTCGATGAATGTTGGCGTCGACGAATGCGTCTACGCTCTTTCCTGACCAGAGCCCCAACCTGAGCGACAAGCTCTTGAACATCGACGCCGATGCCTGTCTGTGGATGCGGCATCACTACGTTTTTTTGGGTTGACACAAAGGCCGGCTGTGGTTGGATCTCTCGAGTGGCGCCTAGTATGGGCAGTTCTTGATCGGTGACGAAGGACAACAACACCTTCCAGTAGACGAGAGAGTTGTAGAAGAAGAATCTCTTTTGCTTTTCAATTGGCGTCAGATTGCCGCTCTGGTTGTCCAGATGGGTTACCGTCTCAGCAAGGAGTTCGAACTCTGACTGACCGAGGCTACTGGGGTCGTGCCAACAAAGGCTGAAGCCGAGCATAACCAAGGCCAGCAGCGACGACGTATCTGTTGGGTCAACTCTGCTTTCGTTCCACAGGGAGCGAACCGCTTGGTCCCGAAGGCGACCGCTGGCCGCGACTAGGCCTGGCGAAACCTCTGATAAACAGGCTGCTGCCATGCTCTGGGTGACGTAGTAAAGCGCGGGTGAGGTGCCCCAGAGGTTTGCAATGGTTGTCCTGTAGGGGTTCAACTTGCTGTCGTAACAAGACATCATGCCGCACACTTCCTTGAAGTAGTATTCTACGAGTATCGAGGAATTGTCTTGCAAGGAGGGTGAAAGCGACATCTCGTGTCGGGATGGCGGAGACGAGGCCAATGGTGCGACTCGCCCGACCATGCTGGCAGTAGCCTCTGTGTCGTCTAAAGTGAGTTCCGGGCACACGCCTCTCGCACTCGTTCCGTATGATTGAAGGGAAGAGACTATCACTGCGTCGGCGGAGGGTGTTAAGTGGTCTTTTTCGATGAGTCCATTCGAGAATGAGAAGAGCGGTCCTGTGCTGTCTGTGCCTTGGAAGTCGAGGCTCCCAGGGGTGTTCATATCCGTGAATTGATTGAAGAAGTCCATGTCGCAAAGCTCTTTCCCGGACTGATCGGACAAATGAGATCCATTAAGAGTCTTTTCAGGTGACTGAACAATGCTCTCAGACCCATTGCTCCCTGGGGTTGTAGGATCACGTCGGGGCGGTCTCGAGGACGTATTAGTCCATTTCAATGGCGTCTGGTACCCGGGACAGGATATGCCAAGCCTTTGGCAACGCGAGCAATAGGGCTTTGCTTCATCGCATTTGAGCTATTGATATATACAGTCAGCAACTGTCATTAGCAGCAGCAACCGCCGGCGTTAATAGTATCGCACCCTTTTCGATTTGCAAACAGCGCATCCATTGCGGGACCGAGTAATGGTCTTACGCGTTGACGGCAGCATCGGACCGTTATCAAGATGTCCCGGAAATCACACAGGGAAAATGATAGTGATTCCGCATCACCTAGCGAGGCTGAATCCGGTTACTTCGTGCTCATACCCGGCACGGATGCGTTGAATGAGGAAACTAGTGTTGTCAGAACTTGGGCTCAGGTGGCCACGGTCAACGAAGTGCATCTCGGTAATGCAAATGACTCGCGCTAGAATGCGGGGGCTTATCGGAGGTTCGGGGTGGCTGCATGATTACGCATCCAAAGGGGGCCACTCGAGGCGAAGGATATATTTGCCAAAAATGGTATCGATAATCAAAGCCATGTATTCGGCCCTTCTTTCAATCTAACTTCGACGACAGTCGCTGGAGCATACATGTAACTGATGCCACAGCCGGTAGACCGGTAAGTATAATCAAGTTTGGTCCTGTATCTACACCATGACAGCCGTTGCAGGAACGCAAATGTTCAAGGTTGCACTGATACAGACATGCCCCAAGGTGAGTCGCCAAATGACCCGTATCAATAAGGTAACATTGGTAATTAACCTTATACTGATGATGCATGCTTTGTCTGGATAGGTTCTTGATGCGGAGCACAACTTCGCATATGCATCAAAACAAATTCGTCTGGCAGTAGCACAAGGGGCATCGTTGGCCGTCTTGCCTGAATACCATTTGACAGGGTGGATGCCGGAAGAGCCGTCGTTCGCCCTGACCCCTGAAGCAGCTTGCCACTTCCAGAAGCAATACCAGGAACTGGCAGCAGAACTACACATCAACATCTGTGCGGGGACTATTGTCTCGCAGGCGCCGGAGAGCCAACAGTCTTGCAAAACTGGCGCAAAGTCGAAACCAACTCTCCTCAATACGTCCTATTTTATTGATCACAATGGTCAGCTGCTCGGCGCGTATACCAAAACCAATCTATGGATCCCTGAACGCAACCATCTTACCTCCAGCGTCGACTATGCCCATAAGATGAACCTCGCCGAGGGCGCACCCGCGACGGGACCCCATCAGGTCTTCGACACACCCCTCGGACCCGTTGGAATTCTGGTATGCTGGGATCTTGCATTCCCCGAGGCATTCCGGCACCTCGTTCTCGCAGGGGCTAAGATCATCATCGTGCCTTCGTACTGGACTCTGTCAGACATGAGTCAAGAAGGGCTTGAATACAACGCCAACTGCGAAAGGATGTTCGTGGAAACCACTCTAATCACACGTGCCTTTGAGCACACTGCCGCGCTCATCTACTGCAACGCTACCGGGCCAGCGGAGCAAGGGTTCTTTGGATGCAGCCAGGTTACGTTGCCCATCGTTGGCAAAGTTCCTGGAAGCTTTACCGATGGCGAGGAGGGGATGCGTTTGGTGGACGTTGACATGCGATTGGTGGAGATAGCAGAACAGAATTATCAGATTAGAAAGGATCTGAAGCGGGTTGATTGGCATTATGGGTATTCAAAAGCAGCAAAGCAATAGTGCACATTTTAGAGGACAAGAATATAGCAAGGATTTGTTGTGTCTGCTTCTTGCGTGAGATTTCTGAGAAAAGAGTTTGCTACTGACTGAGCAAGCATACAGTGGAGGTCAAAAAGCCACCGTCCTAGTCAACTAGCCAAGCTCACTGCCTCTTGGTGGCCACGGCCATGGCCACGTTGTCTTTGCTTCAGATAGTTATTTCTATTGTACTTTTTGACGAACTACACGTGGAAATCTAAGTCTCAGTCTTTATTAAAACAACCATTTAATCCGAAAAGAGGCACGTATACAGCTGAGTTGCCTTAAAAGATGTCTTGGCTCAAGAAACAAGACGAGTCTGCTTCTGATCGAGACATCACCGCTTTCACAGAGCCAACCAAGGCTTCAGTCCTTACTGTGCCGCAAAATATCGTCTCCCTTTGGCAAGGGGAACTCTTGGATAGTAGCGTTTGCGACTGGGAGCTCCTCTCCAAGAATGAGTTCGAACTTTGGACCATTGTAAGACTTCTTTATGGCAAACCATAATACCGCCGCGTATACAATGAAGATCCCAACTACAGCCGTTACGTAATCTAGAGGAAGTCAACATCTCGTTCGGAAGCATTGCAGGTAAGCACTTACTCATAGTAGAAATGTTGATTGGGATTGCGGGGGGAAAGCAGAAGAACTAAGGAGTGAACATCAGCAAAGCTTCAGGGCTTGGGCAGGGGCTACTTACAACAGAGGTTACGAGCACGAACAGAACAGATGTCCAGTTCACAACATAACCAAAAAGGCCTCGACCCAGCGTGAACACAGGTGGATTGGCTGTTACTAGCTGCCGCCCTCTGACGAGAAGAATCATGACTGGCAGCGCATATGACAGATTCAAGAATAGAGTGCAGCTTGCAATGTACGCATTGAAAGCGACATCAGGGCCTAAGAATGTCAGAATCGTGAGTTTTGGCAACGAAGGAGATATGTTTACTTACCGAGGTAAAGAAGGCCAAACAAGACGTTAAAGATAGCTTGCACAATAATGGCACGAACAGGCACATTCAGTTTCGGATGTAATTTCGATAGACTAGTGAGCCCAGAATTAGCCAATGCCACCCATTTTCTGGGAAATTAGAGCATATACTATTTCGAAAAAGGTGTGCCACTGTCTCGAGCCATTGCCCATATGAGGCGGCTGCCGGACGTGACACAGCCGTTGGCTCCATTGAGAAAGCACACAGCTACGGCAACGCTGAGGACAGTTGCGGCTGCTTTACTTCGTGTTGCTTGCAGTATCATTTCTGTCAAAGGACTCTGCGTGGGAGAAGCGAGAAGAGCGTCGATATCGACGGCACAGAAGAGCATGACCAGTATGAACACGATTCCACTGCAACATATGTCAAAATACGAATACTAGAACACCTGAAACTGACGTACGTTACTCCGCCGACAAGGACGGCTCCAACCATGGCTTGGGGAGCATCCATGGACGGATTGGGCATCTCCTCGGTCATGTGAGCCACCGCATCGAAACTATGCAGCGCACATAAGTGGGTATCCTTCATATTGCTCGAGGGCGAAAAGAGTACAAACCCAATAAGACTGAGGGCGGACTGAAGTAGCCCAAGCATCCATGCGGTACCGTCACTCCAGCCTGTGGTATTGGAGAAGTTGGTGAACACAAACTCGGCGCCTGTCTTCGGGGATGTAGCGAGCAGTACAATGCTGATAACGACGACGCTGGTCAGGGACCAATACACTGTGACGTGTTAGTGAGAGCGATTATGAGTATAGGAAACACTTGGCCTAGACTGACGAGCTCCCTCGTTCCACCGGTTCAAGATCGGGTAGCAAAATATATTCAGGAACACGCCGACCATTGAAATGGCGACAAAAATCAAGTAGGTGCTCCATTGGGTAATCTGGTAGGTACCGCCAGAACCAGCTACAGCAGCCGCTGCCAGAAACCGTGCTGTTGTTCGAGTTGCTTAGTCGACTGTCCCATGGGGTATTGTTCTGTGCATTGACCTACCTCCAAACAATGCAGCTGTCGTGTTCAGAGTGAGCCAACCCGCAATGTTCACCCATCCAACGAAAAAGCTCTAAGGCCAGTTAGCATTATTGTTCAAAGTGAACAGAAACAGAGCTGTTCTAACCATTCTCTTCTTCCACTTTTGAGTTGATAGGGCGTAGGCGTAGTGGTACTGCCCGCCAGCAGTCGGGTAGATAGATGCAAGTTCGCCGACGCTGGCACTCAAACAAACGTTACATAGAACGCAGAAGATGAACCCGTAGACGAACGAGACAGAACCGCCAGATGGCATAACAAAACCGATGGATCCGGCCAGAGAAATCCACGTACTTCAATTGTCAGTTTCAACATCCTCGAGAACCCGAAACGACCTACTTCAGAATGGCAAAGGCCATGCCAATCATGGTCAGTTTGGAGAAGCGCTTCTCCAGGTGGCCATCTTGGCGGTTGGCTGTGTCCGCCATGGTGATTACAGCGGTTTGGTGAGCGACAGTGTTAGAACCTTGACGTTGAAGCCTAAGTATCGTTGAAAAGGGCGAACATCTTCCGGCTTATTGATGTCATTTGTGAGGAGTTTCACTTGTCCGTCCCCCCTTGGTGTCGCACAGCTAACGAGATGGGTGATAAGCAGTAACATCATCTCGCTCCACGCGCTTCCCGCCCCGCCGCTAAGAGTAATGTAGAGGGTTATCGGACCGCTAACCCAAAATGGTAATATTATCCAAAGGAAAACCGCGGCCCCATGACGGCTGTGGGCTGGAGACGCAGTTGTTATCATGCCCCGCAAGCGCAGATAACAGTTCCGTTGCGTCAAGATCAGTGTTTGTTCCGGACTCGAGCAGCGTAACTGTCTGACAGCTTACTCCGGACCAATCAACGAGCTCCGATAGATGCTGCCGATGCCCGTAACGTGCGGGGTACTTTGCAACCTTCGAGGCTCCCCAGTCCTCGACTTTATGAGGTTTCGACATGGGCAGATAAGTGACTTGAGAACATGTCAAATGGAATCAACCGTCAGTTACGCGGTGTTGTCGTGAAGCTGGGACAGCTTCGTGTGGCTGTTCCAGTCAGAGACGCCACGAAGTGGCGCCTCCAACCGATAAGACCCACATTAGGAAGAGTATTTCTAGGCGATATTTCTCTCGTACTTAGACTTAGGAAAATCAACTACTTCTCTTCATAAATGTAAAGACGCCGCGGTTCATCACAGGCGTTGATGTACAGTGAGCTATCTTCAACCTCTCTTACCCACAAGTTCCAAGGTCGCAGCATTGACCATCTCGTAGTACGATCGGATCCACCGCACTCTTCTTTGCTTAAATGCTTTATACCACCTGTGGTTCCTGTCGCCCCTTGGAGCATCAAAGCTGTCGTTTGGATACTAGCATTCTTCTGTGTATAGACCGCCCGCATCACAGCCAGCTCAATGCTGTCTGCCACGACTGTGAACCCATGCCCGCGCATCAACGTCACGTTGTTGCCGCCGTCAAAATGTTTTGCTAGCGCGGCGCCCATGTTCTTCGTGCGCACTAATAGATCGGGGACGTCGCCTTCCTCCATGTGGTCGGCAGCGTCGAAGACTGGGAGGCCGTCGGGACCGAGGAACCCGCACATGTGGCTGACGGCTTTGAGGGGAACGCCCGAGATGGTGTAGGGGACCACAGCTTCAGAATGGCTGTGTATCACGGCGTTTATCTCGGGATGTCGCCTGTAAATCTCCGAGTGAATCCGTCTCTCTGCAAAGCCTTGGGGACAATTCGGATCCAAGGGCTCTGCGTCTTCGATATTGTACTCGATCAGATCTTCGGAATAGCTCACCTGGGCTGGCGCGATATTTCGAGACATGAAGAATGTGTCCGCACGAGACGGGTGGCGAAATGACAGATGGCCATATGCATCGACGACTTGATGGAAATGGAGAATGTGAGAACCGCTAACGCATTTCCGAAAATGGCCTTGCAACATCTCACTTTGCTGGGACGATGCCATTTTGGATCAGGAGTTGGATCAGAAGAACTGAGAATGGCCCTGAAACTACGAAAGAAGCGGACGAATGTCGAGGTAAAATTAGGGCGTGAGCGTGGGGGAATAAACGCAGGTTGGTCATGGACAAGTTAAGAGGCCCATGATGGAAATATAAGGCCTCATACTATAGATTAAATAGCTACGTGCATTCTATGCCAGCCTCAGGCCCTCAAAGGTAAACTAAAGGTTGTCATGAACCGGATAGTTGAGAAACAAAGGGGTGGCAAAGACCGGCAAGGCAATCTAAACTACGTCACACACTTGGGTGATTGTCAAATATTCCTCATTAATCACCTGACGCTTGGGCGCCATCACACATTTTCGTTACCATGCTGAAGTGACTTACCCTTCAGTACTATCGTCTAGTCTTGATACAATTCAACGATGAATGGAAATTCTTGAAACTAATTGACAGTTTTCTGTGCAGAACTTCAATCAAACTGAACACATCACCATCTCGCATCAGTCGAGGGTGTTGCGGGAAGCGTTGTCGGGATTCCCACTTCATCCAGTACTTGCGCAAAGGATTTCCCTTTCGCAGGCGAGGGGCAGAACATTGTCGATGACGGCATAGCGTACTGCGTAGACCGCTGCACTATGAACAATGTACGGATAGCACCGTTTAAGCGCCGGGGGATCCAATCAGCATGAACATATCTTCCACTCGGCTCTGCACACAAACGATCTGCCGGCCCGTACTACTTTGGAACAAAGGCTACGGGGAGAGCAGGGAGCTCGGTCCATTCAGAACGGCCTACGTCGGCAAAAAAAGAAACCCCCAAAACGCACCGAACCACGCAAAAGAGTCTCTCCAACGGTACTTGTATTGATTCGGTCGTTTAACTTTCAGACCTCGGCACGATGAATGAGAGTTAACCCAGGTCCCCGCATCCCCCGAGGTCCAGCTCTGCTCCAGTAGAGACCAATGGAGACATGTTTTCGCCCGCTTTTTGTGTGTTGTTTCAAATACTCCTCCTAACCTCCACGTTTACACGGCGTTATTCACGACTAGAAAGCCCTTGTCCCGTCAATTCAAAGCTGCGCAGGACGTCAGAGTATAAAATTTGATCCCAAAGACTTGGAAATTGCCATGGAACTAGGTATGGTTTTGGCAGTCGATAGTATAAACGGATGACAAGCTTACGCTGTGCAAGTTGCGGCTGCCACGCTCGCAGGAGGCGTTGCCTCCAGCATGTACCTCGACGCCAAATACCACTTGTCGAAGGACGCCAAATCGCTGCTAATGCGCCGAAGAATCGTCAAGTCAATTGAGAACTCGGGTACTGGTTCCGAATCCAAATCGTCACAATACCGTGCTGACCAAGCCTCAGTCAAGACAGGTCGAGTGTCGCCATACTACATATTCGAGGACTCAGTAGAAAGACACCCCTACGACGAAGCTATTTGGACTCGAGACGGCAGTATATCGTGGAAGACAACCTACGACCGATCGAACCAATATGCCCAGCTGTTTCTATCTCATGGAGTGAAACCTGGTGACTTTGTTGCTCTGTTCATGCAAAACTCACCAGATTTCGTTTTTGCCTGGATGGGACTGATTGCCGTTGGCGCGGCGCCGTCTATGATCAACTACAACCTCACTGGGAAAGCTCTCCTTGGAGTTATCGAGATCAGTACGGCCAAGTTGATGCTCGTCGACGGGGGCTCTGACATTGTTGAAAAATATGCGAGCGTACAGACAGAATTAGATCTCAAAGGCATCAAAGTTATCAACATTGGGGAAGAGAGATCGCGGATCTACCAAAGAGATCCCGTTCGTCCCAGAGACGAACTGAGGAAGAGCGTCACGCCCGCCAGTGCAATGTGCATGTTTTACACCAGGTAATTGCATCTTCAACTACTTACTTTGATCTTCTAACAGTCATAGTGGCACTACTGGTATTCCGAAAGCCGTTGTTTTCCCTACCTCCGGGGCTGGGGCGCTGGCATCACAGGCAAGTCATTTCGACCACTTTATATATTATTTCGCTCTAATTAGTAATCCGCGCAGACTAACATTGGCCAGAATTCATTTTTTGGTGGTCGGGAGAGATGCTACATATGTATGGTTCGTGCAATCTCATGGCGAATTACTAAAACTTCGACTGATTTCCTGTACCATAGCCGTATTATCACGGAACTGGTGGCCTTACCATGATATCACAGATTTTTGTAATCTTCCTGTGTTCCACTCAGCAAAACCCAGAAGCTAATGTGTTGCTAGGCTGGATCTACCGTTTGCATGGCACCAAAGTTCAGCGTTTCAAATTTCTGGGATGACGTCCGCGCTTCTCATGCAACATGGTTCGTGTATGTCGGCGAGACACTTCGGTACTTACTGGCTGCTCCACCGTCTCCTCGAGACAAAGATCACAGCATTCACACTGTATTCGGCAATGGCTGTCGACCAGACGTATGGGGACGTTTCCAGGAACGATTCGGCATCGACACCATGTGGGAGTTTTACAACAGCACTGAAGGCCCGTTGGGTTTCCGTAATCCAGCTCGGGGTGAATTCTTCGCTAATGCTATCGGACACCATGGTCTGTTGTTGCGAATCAAATACAGGAACAAGATAGTGCCTGTCGAGGTCGATGCGGAAACCGGCCACATTAAGCGTGACCCAAAGACGGGGCTTGCCCTCCGTGCTCCGTACGAGGTTGGTGGAGAAATCCTGACCGAGCACCCCGGCGAACGCCCGTTTCCGGGTTACTTCAACAACGAGGATGCCACCAGCAAGAAGTTAGTGAGAGACATCCTCAGGAAAGGGGACTGTTTCTATCGAACTGGGGATTCGCTCAGGCGTGATGGCGATGGCAGGTGGTTCTTTCTAGACCGGTAAGTCTTGAGAAACGGCCAGACAACGCTCCTATGCTTTGGCTTACGTCACTTGATAGCCTTGGAGACACCTACCGCTGGAAAGGCGAGAACGTTTCGACCGCAGAAGTCTCCGAAGTCCTCGGCAGCTATCCTGGAGTGAACGAAGCGGTCGTCTATGGTGTTCGACTTCCAGGGCACGACGGCAAGGCAGGCGCAGCTGCACTTGACATTGCACCGGCTCACAAATCGTCATTCAGCTATACTGATTTTCTCAGGTACGAGCTTTACTCTAAGTGATGTGACAAAAGTACTGACACACCTATAGTTATGCACGAGCCAGGCTTCCGGGATACGCTGTTCCTATCTTCATTCGACTACTCAACCAGGGAACAGCAACACATAACAACAAACAGAACAAGGTCCCATTGAAGAATGAAGGCGTTGAGCCAAGCAAGGTCCAAGGAGGTGATAAAGTTCTCTGGATCGAGAAGCATGGTAAGGGCAATACATACGTCCCCTTTACGCAGGACGATTGGAACAATCTTGGCATAGGACGAGCAAAGCTATAACGAAGACAGTACACTTTTTGCGCTCGAGTTACAAGGAACAACAAGAGAAGCCGTACGTTTTTTGCCAATTCTAACATGTACAACATGGCCTCGGTCGTGCTACTGAGAGCAAGGATGCGACGCGCTATAATAGGCTTATCCATCTTTTGTGCTTGTGTTGCATCGCGTGACAAGCCACGGCCCTCTACCTGTATCCCCGGGATGGTGCAACCAGTAGGGAGGGGTCATTTGTTCGGTTGATTCCCAAGCCAACCCAATGGGGATCCCATAATTTCAAGCTCCCCAAAAACATAATGCGCAACGGCGCCCTTGGAGATGTAGTGATACGACAAACCCCGCACGACGCGCGGGGAATGGCACCCCTGTTGCGTTCACATGGAGACCAGCAGAACATGAGAGGCTGGGACCGAGGCCGGCTAAATGAACACGAGTTGAATCATGGCGGGTTTTGTAATTATACCGGTGGTTTCTACTCTTTTCAGGGGGGTCGACTATAGAAAGAGGACCAGTATCTGCGGCTATCATCTTTGTATACGTAGTGCTTCATCTAGCATCTATAGATTTTTACAAGAACCATGCCCGGCATCAAGCGGACCCGAATAATCCTCGGATTGGTCATCACGTGTGCCCTGATATTACTGTTCAGGAGCAATGAAGCAACCTTCCAATCTTCCCAATCAACCAACTACATAACGTGGGAGCAACCTTTGGAAGATTCTTCACTCAACATTGAGGTCTCTCCCGACCATTTGGCTGCTCCAATACTAGACAACAACCTAGAATACCAGCCGCCGTTGTTACAACAGACAAAACTCATTCCAGATGCACATAGACTGACAACGGCCGACGATTTCATCCCCCATTTTGCTGCCGTCACAGCCCTGAAAGGTCTTTCTCAGCGAGAGGCCCGCTCAACATGTACTTGGCTGGCCGACACCTACGTTTACTTCCAGTTCTCTGATACGCTGGAATGGGTTCTCGAGGAACGGCCGGCGCTGGAGATTGAGCTTCGTCGGCGAGAGTGGCACGAATTCATCCAGGGCCAGATGATTCCGTATGCGAATGTCAAAGACCGGTTCTGGGGCCGCGGACTGGTCATCGTTGCAGGTAACGCGGACACAGTGATGCGCGTTAAGGTGATCTTGCGCCAGCTGAAGAGACTTGGTTCGACAATTGCAGTGGAGATTCACTATTGGGACACCGAGATGGACATTGGGACCATGGCCGACCTCAACGCGTTGTACGAACCGATATATTACAATGACCTCTCAAAAGACCACAACATTGTGCGCATCAAGAAAGATGGGATATTCGGAATCAATTATCAGCTCAAAACAGCAGCTCTGCTCAACTCCAGATGGGCGGAGCCCTTTTTACTGGACTCTGACAACATTCCTATTCTCGACCCTGCGACTCTCTATGATTCACTTCAGTATACCGAATACCATGCCGTATTTTGGCCTGATATTGCACGTACGCGTCCGCAGAACCCGGCTTGGGCGATCTTCAACACTCCTTGTCGAATGGCCGAGTACGAGCAGGAGAGTGGTCAACTAGTGGTTGACAAGAAGCGTTTCTGGTATCATCTCCAACTAGCCTCGTGGCTGAACAACGAGCAGGGGAAATACTACAACGAGATCCTTTTGGGGGACAAGGACATGTTCCGCTTTGCATGGCACGCTTTGCGGACAACGTTCGGGAAGCCCACCAAATGGCTTACGAGCGTTGGAACGGAAAACGAGGGGTTCTATTGCGGGCATTCCTTCGCTCAGTACCACCCGGACGATGACCGTGTGGCATTCCTTCACGGCGGACTAGTCAAGACAGTATCTCTCGAGGTCATGCGATGGAATCGCGACGTAATGGGAGGATATCTTCGACATTACAAAAGGGCAGCGAGCGAAGAAAACCCAGAGGTCACGGTCAATGTGGCTATCAAGTGGGACAATGCTGCATATTTGCCCCAACACTCTGAAAAGTTTGAAGCGGCGCAGTGTACCGAAATGGTCGACATCGAAGCGAGGGACATTAATGAGATTCTGCCTGGATTCGAGAAGACGTTTCGTGAGCTTGGAGGATACTGGCAGCTTGACCAGAAAGACGCCATAAAGCTGGATCAATTCGGATCTTTACATGCGCGCTGAAGCATGCGGAGCATCAAGGGTTTCCTGCCCGCACGTGAAACCATCATGGAAGATCAGCCGCAGCGCAACCGTAATCGTACGAGCTTGGCGAGCCGATGGCCCTTTTTCGTTAGCGTCAAGCACAGTAGAGAAAGAAGATCAAAGACACAAAACAAAGAACGAAGAAGGCCTAGCGCTGTTGACAGTTGCCACCTGAGTGTGGGTTGCATTTTTGCGTCCGGCCCTGGGATAGTAACATTACCGGTACGCACGCAAGAGGGGGGGGGGGGGGGGCGCCATTTCCACTAGTTCGCGCAGGCCGGCTATCAAGCGAGGCCAAGACACGTTCTATTCATCTCTAGTCCGGCCAATTGAGAGCCGTCCGGGTGTCAGCACCCATGCTTGAAACCGAGCTGCTCAAGGCCACGCGGATACTAAGCTTACATTGTAGGCTTGTCAAGAAGGTTTGGCATGCCACTACAAAGAAAACCCCATGCGAGTACAACGTCCTTATAGGATATGAAACGTTTGGCAGTAAACGCGGCTGGTGTATTCTTTGAAGAGCAGATACACTGGTGCACACCTAGAAAGGGTCCGCGTTTCTTGAGATGTTGATTGACTTGCGGGAGACTGGCTCTCTCTTTCCCTCTCTCTCTCTACCCCTTACAAAAAGAAAAGACAAAATCAGGAAAACACGTAACATTATCTGAAATCCACCATAGTCTCTTTTAATTGTTACTGGAAAATAGTGATAGAGTTATTGGCGACCTGCCCATGCGGCGCATCATCCAAGCGTTGAGGGTGCAAATCGGACGATAGGAACGTCCTGCACTCGCCTAGGTACTCAACGGGAAACATGAAATAACAATAAAGGTATGCTTAAGCAATGCTAACGACGCATGTTTTCCTTAACGATTAGTGTAGTATCCTTCCCAGCTATTGTTTCAGGAAACCATTCACCGCCAAGTCTTACCGTTGAGAGCTAGAAAGCATATGACTAGCGTCCAGCACTCTATAACCCTATTTGGAAAGAAACCGAGCCCGCTACGCTCGATCAGTCCACCTTCTTTTATAGAATGGTTACTCGCTTCAATAGTACTTACTTACCCCTGACCCAAATAGTCCCCGCTCGCTTGGCAGGGGCCCGATAGCTGGATTAGGCAAGGTTGTCTTAGTGGTTGCGTTCGGTAAAAGCTTAGATACAGGTCGGTAAACAGGTTGGCACACTGATTGTGCACCTCGTTAAGCAATCTGCTCATGCATGTCGTCTCGGATGGGATGATGGATGCATACACTCGAACATATCAGAACAGGACCAAGCTGTAGTTTCCTTATATGAAGCCTAGAGCGCATCTCTAGGATGCCCATGATGACCACGTGAAGAAAGGTGGAAGAGTCTTTTAGTCGGGAAGGAAATCATAAAAGGTTATGGCTTAATGTCATACTTGCCGCAGAAACAGACCCCCTTTGTTTCCTCGCTACCGACGCCCCGCCCCGCGCCCCCCCGGCTGACTGCTGGAGTAACCATCGTCAAGCCAAGGCCTGGACGCCCAATCATGACCAAGACGTTTGTCGTGCAACTTCTCCGGGGTTTGTGGAGGCGGAGCATATGCGCACCAGTGCTCGCACTAGGTCAGGTACTGCAGGGCTCAGGCGACCTTATACGAGTAAGTGACAGCAAAACGGTTAGGAAAAAGCAACTCTTTGCTGCAATGTCGGCGTCAGAACGCCCCGGAACTAATCTTTTTGACGGCGGCCTACACATTTCAACAGTGAAGCGCCGAAATGGCTTGCTACGCCAAGAATAGATGCGTAAAGGAACGAGCACGGCCGTCCGGTCCAGAGAATTTAGATCAGGATATAATGAGTCCATGATGCCCAGCACATCCAACGTTTGAATCATCAGGATACGCCTCATCACTCCCTCGTCTATAATACTCCTGTCGACCTGACTTTTCTTGGCTTTTTGAACACCCCTACCCAACACTCTCTCATTGTGTCTAATACTCACCACAATCAACATGCGCGTGTCCATCCTTGCCGCCGCTCTCGCGGCTACTCCCATCCTCGCCTACCCTGGCATGAAGAGCACCCTGTCAGAGATCCGTTCCCGTGCGGACCAGGACGGGAATGGCACTGACGATGGTGACTCCAACGAGCTTATCGGTGACCTCGTCACCCTCGACGACTCAAATCTCACCCCTGTTGGCAAGAGCGTCAAGCAACTCCTTACTGGCTCCGATACGCCTGAGAGCGACGAGATCTACTCAACCTCTGCACGCGGCGGGAACCTCGCCGCCAAGGGCTCCCCAGCTTGCGCCGCTGATACGTGCTGCATCTGGAAATACATCGCCAACGACCTCCAGGGCGTCTTTAGGGGGGCTTCTGGCCGTTGCACAGACCTTGCCCGCGCCGCTGTTCGTCTGGGATTTCACGATGCTGGCGGTTGGTCCAAGAACACTGGTCCCCTTGGTGGCGCTGACGGCTCTATTATTCTCGCCCCTGAAGAAATGACTCGTGTAGAGAACAGGGGTCTTGAGGAGATTGTTGCGCAGACCAAGGTTTGGTACAATCAGTACATGCAGTACGGCATTGGTATGGCCGACCTCATTCAGTTCTCCGCCACCGTGGCCACCGTTGTGTAAGTCTTCCAATGGTCTGCATGTAACATACATGCATCATGTATCGTCTGCTGACAACTAGAAGATGCCCTCTTGGACCTCGTATTCGCACCTACATCGGCCGTAAAGACTCTTCTGCACCCTGCCCTAACGACCTCCTTCCTCCCGTCACCGGGTCTGCCGATTTCTTAATCCAGCTTTTCGAGAACAAGACCATCAAGGCTCACGGTCTGACGGCTCTCATCGGCGCTCACACCACCAGCCAGCAGCGTTTCGTGGACCCCAGCCGCGCCGGCGACCCTCAGGACAGCACCCCCGGTGTCTGGGACGTCAAGTTCTATAAAGAGACGCTCGGCTCTGCGCCCGCCCGTGTCTTCAAGTTCGCCAGCGACGTGGTGCTTTCCCAGGACCCTCGCATCAGCGCCGAGTTCCAGGCCTTTGCAGGCCAGGGCGGACAGTCCCACTGGAACGGGGACTACGCCCGCGAATATATCCGTCTCTCTCTCCTCGGCGTGAACAATATCAACGACCTGACGGAGTGCACCAAGGCACTGCCCGCTCGCACTGCCAGCACTTTCACTGCTCCTGACCAGGCTGCCGTTGACAAGTGGCTTGCCACCACCGACCGTGTTGCTACGATTGCCGACGCGCTCCGAAACGGTAGCAACGTTTCCAGTCTCATCAACACCGTTGTGGGGTGGCTGAAGGGAATCTTCAATTTCAGATGGTAGAGGAGAATGATGAGTTTTCTTACATTTTTGGCATTTTTATTATGTCACGGCGAGGGCATTATAGAGGCGTTCGGGATTCATTTTGTAACTCAAATCTGCCCTAATCGGGCAGCCGTCGATATGTCATATAATGTCTACATTAATTTTAGACTTTGCAAAGGTTCTACTTTCTATTAACCCATGTCCTCAAGCCAATAGCCTCATCCGCCCGAAACGCTGGGATGGCGTTGCATGACGGAAAAGTTAAATTTTCAGCATTTTGGTTAGACCACGTGCGTACCTGATTGGTTCAAATTCCAACATCACTCTTGATCCTCAACTTCCACGACCGCCCCAGTTATGGCTAGAGATGCTTGTTTTCTGCTTCGAAAGAGGAAGGAATGTCCAATAAAGGTCAGCTTGCATAGGTCTCATCGAGACAGGCCCCTCACTTACGGTGGGCGACCATGTTGAGACAGTAACACAAGGTTCGGCAGGCAGCCATGTTGGATGCTAACATGCAGTGATAATTAGCTTGGGTGAAAGGGCCGACTCCGTTTCATGTCCGTATAGGATTCGATATAAGCATCACAAAACTGCTACAGCTGGGTGGCGCGGTCCTCATGTGCTCATGCATTTCCATCAAGGTCTCCCTTTCTAATTTCATGTTGTTAAACGGGCTTTCTTTCGACACACCGCAAGATGTCATGCACGGCTGCCTCCAAATAGACGTGTCTAAAGAAAAACAAGCCTCTACCGACAAGTTCGTCCCACAGAGTGAGTAGATACCCGCAAGCGGGCAGCAACACTACGCCAACACTACGATAGAGCTCATGTTCAGTTTCTGTGACTTTAAGTTTCTCAACATATACATCACCTGTATCTTTGTCTACATAAAAAATAACGGGGAAGTATTCTTGGTGGTATACTATCCTGCAAGCAGTGGTCATCCTCTTCCTTCCGGCAATTGTGCCAGTCGGAACACTGATGCTCACGACCGGAGTAATCCAGGAAAACGTTGAGGGTTCGGGTTTTGTCGGTCATTATCATACCCTCGATCGAGCATCAGCCTACTGTGGCACGAATGGCCAACGAGATGGGATGGAACAGCGAAGGAAACTTTTCCTAGATACTTGACGAGAACGACGACTTCCTTTCGCGGGCGCCTTACACCTTCGTCGACAATCTAGTCAGCCAAAGCACCCTCGTCGACGTCTTCTCTGGCTCCCTTATACCCATTCTAACGCATAATCTCACATTCATTATCAAGACTATTTGTCACAGGTTTATTCTATCATTGGAATGCCAACTGTGAATGCGTACCTGGGGTAGCGTACGTCGCCTCACCCAACGAGCCAATACAGCATATACCTTCACCCACCCGAATTCCAGCAACCAGACCATTGAGGTTGCAACCCAGGAGAGGAATTCGCAGAGTCACCGCTTTCGTAACAGCGTCGGCAAGACGACTATCAACAGTATCCCTGTTGGCCGAACCACATATCTTCTTTGAGGCGGCCCATCATCGCTCCTAAAAGCCAGTACTCCTGTCAATGATACTAGTCTTACCAAGGCCGCTGGGGTTCATTGGGAAGCGGAGTGAACCTAGGTGTGGATAGATTGTCCTTGTATAACAAGGAGAGGCTTCTACACTTGAAGTTGAGCAATTTTAGGCTCTAGGCGGGTATCTCACAATACCCATGTCTTCCTCGCAAGCCATTCTCCTTTACCAAAGCCTGGCAGCAAAGAGAAATACCTCTGAAGCAGACGTCAGGGCAGAACCTCAGTTGCGAACTTCCCCTAGAGGAATGTTCATTCCGTGCCTGCCCTTGTATTGCGAAGCTTCAGTAGGTTTCCACCCGCCACGTTCCAAAAGGTGCTCGTCTTCCAGCCGGAAGACCTCGACCTTTAGCGGTCTACAGCATTTGATCATCTCCTCCTCGCTGTCCTCTCCAAAACCCCAGAGCGATAAGTCGCCGCCGGGGCAAGTACCTATAGCATTCAGTCAGCCCGAATCAGGTGAATGCGCATAAGTTACAACGCGGCAACCGAACTCACTTAATGCCATCAGCAAGTCCTGCTCCGCCAGGAACTCGATGTGGTCTCCGGGCTGTGCTGGGCAAGGGTTCATGAAATAGCGTCCCTTCTCGTCCAGCCCCGTGACCTGGAAAATATTGATCACATCATGGACGTCGCCCTCGTTCAATCCATACGGCAATACTGCCCGGGTCAAGTTGGAATGGCATTGGAAATCATAGCTGCCGCCAGTGAGGACCGTGTTGATGTACGGGTCGCAGCGTGTGCCCAGGAGATCGTGCACGCGTCCTCCATGCTCGTCCTCGCCGTACCATTCTAGTGTGTCCTTGATGATGGTCGCCAGAGGCCGCATGTAGGGCAGGCTCGACCACAGCCGATCACCGGTCGAGACGTGACTCGCGTGAAGCTGCTTCGTTCGGCTCGCCCAGAAGCGCTCGCGGGGATTGTGTGCGTTCCAGATGTTCAGGTCGCCTAGCAAAAAGTAAGTGTCCGATATCAGCAGGCCGGTTGAGGATTCATCATGGTGTACCCACCTACTTGGGGTCCTTCTGGAGTGCTGATCCTCACGATTGAGCCTGCCGGTGCTTTCCATGCTTTCCCGGACCGAATCGGCAGCGTAAACTCTTCGAGCAGGACACGCGGGGCTCGTTGGGCACAGTTGTACAACGCTCTATCAACCGTGAGCACGGAGCCGGCAGTCGGAAGGTAAGCCGGGACCGGCTTCGGGATCGGTCTCCGATCCCTCAGGCGTTGGGCGAGGTCGAGGCCGGCGGTGGACATTGTTGAATCGATTTGATGGCGGTCACACGTAGGACAATAATGGAAGAACGGGACCCGTTGCACGAGTAGCGTCACTTGGCTGAGAAAGAAGTTTGTAAGCCGACGTGCACATCGATAGAACTGACGAATCTCGTGAACCCCGCCAAGAGCCTTACTTACGTAAAGACATGCCAGAGGAACACTATGCAATTATCTCCGAGAACAAGGTGGCGCCGATGCCGCTGCTCCGTCATCTCCACACTCGTAGTACCGTATACACTCGCTAGGTTCACAAACCGCACGGACCACCCACTAAGCCTATCTTGCAAGGCGGTCAACCAGCTGAGCCACCCACCCACCCACCTAACCCTAACCCTTGCCACCTAACTTGCTGCTAACGTTGACTAACCCCTGTATTTGCCACTTCTAGATCCCTGTTTCTGCCAGCCCGCTAGCCTCTATCCAGCAGCCCGTGATCAGTGCGGTTTGTGAATCTAGCGAGTGGATACGGTATCTGTCGGTAATTGAACCCAATGGGCGAGTGTTCCGACCCCAAGCTTTTTTGCATTGGTATGCTTGTATAGCTGAACAATATTTCTTTCTTTTTTTAGCAAAGAGCAATTTAATCTATTCAAAACTTCAATTAGTTCCGAATTTTCTTCTGATACGAACAAACAACGTTAGATAGTCTAGGCCGTGGAAGAACAACCATAACGTTAAGGTTTAGTTAAATACGGTGAGAAACCACGGCGTAGATGGCCTGCGGTCATGGTCAGCATGTTGGAAAGTCTGGTAAGTTGCCCATCTTGGATAGCGAGTAAAAATAAAAAAATATGCTCCCATCAATCAGTAAGGGTGAGTGAGCATAGGATCAAATTGCCTCGTGGCGGAATCGAACCGCCGATCTTCTCATGTCACTAAATACTAGTGAGACGCTATACCACTTAGCCAACAAGGCTTGCAAAATGGTGAGTCAGAACTACCTAACAATCCAGATCACAGCAATGGTGGGTGGGTCGGAAGTCCTATTTTAGCAAAACTGGGCACAAAGATGGACTTGATGAACATATTGGATCTTAAGACGCATTGCAGTACTACATGGTCTTATGTGCTAAATACAGTTCATTGGGTTTTTTGACATGTATCTGAAACAGACAAAGGGTTGCTGCTTTCCGGAGGAGAATGTTGTGTAATGAGAACAAAGAAGATCGCTTTGTTGTTGTCAACACCATTCCGAGCCACTAGTTGAAGAGATGTCTTCATAAAACTATGCTTCTAAGCACCGGTATTTTGTTTCTAAGAATAGAGGGTTCCTGGGTATGTTTGTGGTAACACGTTCATCGATCTCTAAATCGGGAAACCAAGTTGATTGTCTAATACTAGCAACAAATTGAAGCCATTAATGTTCCCAATCCTTTCATCTACGTGTACTAATGCTTTGCAAACCCTGATGCCACCTTCTCCTTACCATCACTCTCCCATGGAGACCTTGTCGTCGCCGTGCTATGATGCTGAGTGTATGTTAGAAGTTTTCAGATCAATGCATTAGAAAGAGAGCACCAATGACAGGGACGGGACTAGGAATGCCATCAAGGCCCCGTGTCCTATAACACATCCCAGTGGAACATTAAGCTAGTTTCATGGCTCCAACGATGCCTGGGCCAGAACGGCTGGTAAGAACAAGCCTCACACTCTACAAGCAGAACCATGACTGAGAGCGTCGGCCGAATTTTCGCTGCCTGAGAATGAACTTTGTCGATCTGCTCTGTCTGGGAAAGCATATTTGGAAATAGAGGTGAGAGTCCGCCCGATCCCCGTTAGACTAACACAGACAACGCAGTACTGTACCAGGCGCATTGTGATGCGCTATGAATAGATGTTGTCTTGCGATCGGCTCCGGCGGCCATGGGGCATCTTCTAGCCTTGTTCTTCTGTACCTTATGCCCACCCATGTGGAACTCCAGCGGTCGTCATCCAAGATGCCATGTCACTCTTGTACAAAACGCACCACATTGACAATGATACTCTCATTACCATCCCAGCCTCATACTGTGCAACTGTAAGCTTTTGCGTATTTTTGGCTATCCTGCAGCAGAATAAATTAGTCATAATATTGCCAGTTGCCAAGGAACGAATCACTCGTGCTGCTGTGGCTCTTGAGAGAGCCGCTGCCTCACACCCCAGTGCGAGGCTCTCAGCTGGGATGTGTTCACCTGATATTACAAGTCGGCTGGGGATAGGCAGCTTGGCAGACCCATCTACAGTTCATGTTACCCACAGAAAAGGTTGTTGACCAAGCACGTACTAGAAGCATTGTACAGGTACGAGTGTCTCGGTAGTCGTCCGTAGGTACATGGAATTTAGGTCCAGACTTGTCCCTATCGAACGGGGATATATATCCTTGGCTTCGAGATCCGAGTCAACGTCGTGCCCCAGTCCGGAACATTTACCCATGAAAAGCTAATCGCCGCGCGAGAGCCTTTCTTCGCTGATGTCCGTGTTAGAGACATATCATGAGTTTCGGGGATTCCTTCGGCGAGATATTTGATGATGGCCTGTTTCAAGCCGACTGGTTAATTATATTGCCGAGAGACCCTGCCCACCCCGAACCTTCACGAAGAAAACACAAACAGCACTCTTTTGTATGACCGTCTACTCTAACAGAATTCTCATTATACTATCGCGCCCAGGATCAACCACTTTCTCACAGCGTTACCCTGGTAGACTGCCGAAAAGGGGTCGGTCCAGACTCGCTGGGCGAAGTCGTCCTAGGTTCTGACGCTCAGCCCATATAAGCAAGGGCTACCCTGTCCTCCGACACACGCCTGCACGGCATATCCTACCAAGGCGCAGCGACGGCGTTTTAGTCGCATTTAGGCAGAGAGAGGTGGGCCGTCTTAAGAACAAGCGGTACAAGCGGTAGAACGGATAAGATCCACCTGCAGACACGTATCGTAGGGCCGCTGACTGTTCGGCTTGCGCGGTTCGCGATTTTTTTTTTTTTTCTTTCTTTTTTCTTTCCCCCCTCTCAACACTTTCACCCCCTTTCCTTAGGACAAAACACAACGATGCGCATTACGGAACCCGAAAACATGGTGTCCAGTAACGGTTGACCTCCGAAGCTCCTTAAGTTGTTGGTCCGTCGGTCATCTCTCACAAGGCAGAGAGGAGCGTCCGGATGGTCCAGGGATGTGGGGGCGTATCAGCAAACGACGAATTGCCTGATCAGGGAATCCGCATGCCTATCGGAAGGGTCCGGAGTCTAGGCTACTAGTAGAGTCCGAAACGGGCACACCGTTTTTCATCATTGGCTGTAAGTTTCGTCGGGCACACGTGGGGTTGGGACTGTCGCATCCGGCACTGATGGGACTTTTGCTGAGCCTGCGCAAGACAGGTGGGGTGATTGGAGTTTCTGCTCAAGACGGATAGACCCTGACAGGTCGTCAAATAGGACCGATCATATGGCAAAGCCTCCCGACGCATAGACGGTGCTATAGGTAGCATTGTCCTTCCTGTTGGCACTCTACGCGGTAGTTCTCCCGCCATGAGCGGTACGTGTTGTATGATTCCGGTCCCTACACCTGAACACGAGGGCGGGCCTAGAGGGCCCGGAAAGCGAGGGCGGGCATCAAATGAATCCACGGTGATGGATTTGGATAAGGGCTCCGGTAGTTAGACGCGTCACGCTATTACGTCCATTATCGGTAGCGAGTGGAACTCAATGAGGTCCCCGTTCGCCTGATCAATTTGGGAGACCAAGCCCTATATCGTAAGGATGGCATCGGTCTTTTGCCCTTTTATCGAAAAAAAAATGTTCTGGAGGCTAACCTAGGCTCAACCGGGCCTGCACTGCTAAAGATGATGGCGGAGCTGGGTCCGGGATGGCAAGGCTAGAGAGAAAAGAGAGGAGGAGGAGGACACTCCATCGAGAGGGGCCAATGACTAGCACCCTGGCCGGCGCCGTACTACCTAGTACCTAGCATACGCACAAGAATGGCAAGCACTCAATGTGAAACCGAAATCGCCTATTCCAGGATACCGTGGCTCTCAGGACAGCTCAGCATCTGGCCAATGCCCCCCTCCCCTTCCGATCAACGACCAGGTCAGGCTCGTGAGCCACGATGGCGACATCGCGACAAAGGGGTCCGGGGCGGCGTCTAGCTCGCTTAAAATGCTGCATTGATCGAGAGCCCACGTTCATTCAGCCGCTGCCGCACCTATGCGCGGGCGGGTCGTGGGCGGAGTGCTCCGACGAGACAAACGCTTGCGCGAGTCGGGTCAACGGCCATGCCCCGCTGGCATGCTGGCCATGGCTCGGATCTTTTTCCAACTCCTGCTGCTATGGTACAGTATAATGAGTTTCCCATAATAGAGCTGCGAGAGACCTGGAGGCGGACTACCCGATAATCGTTGCTTGCTATGTAGCCTCCTCATGCCGTCCTGAACCCACTTTATCATCTCGACGAGCGAGCGAGCGGAGTGTGACAGGGCCAGGCACACACGTTGTTCTAAGGCCCAGCAGAGTTTTGTTTCTATTCGCGTAACGATTTCCCACCTCGGGCCAGCGATGCCTACACACGCTCCTGGCCGTAAGATGGACTGCCGCCTTACAAGAACAGAACAATGGGGAAAATCGCTCACTGGGGAAATGACACAGGAGGGGGCGGATGGAGATGGTCGGAGCGAGGGATCTCGGGTAGACAGAATACATGATGGAGCTAGCTGCCCCATGATCTGATGATAACGAAACGAGGTGGTACCGACAAAGCCACTTTATGATAACAGCATGGCTGTCATTTTTCTTGGGCTCTGTCAGGTGTCAGCACCAGATAGAAGGTCATCTGTCAAAAACGGGCTGACAATTCCTTGCACGGGATCCGTGAAGCCTCGCGCGGTAGAGCTCTGAGGGAGTATTGGAGTGCAGCTTCGCATCCAGGCGTCGGCGGAAATGAAGACAGACGGACACGAGACGAGGATATCCTCCATTCCATACGTACAGTAATAGAAATCCACTCGTCCTATACGACCCGTCCTATACGAGAGAATGTGAAGACACGCATGTTGAATGGTACATGCACGTAGTTGCCGGGATCAGTCCGTAGTCAGTCATCAGTCAGTATGTAGTAGGCAGAGCGAAGGGCAATGATCGCCCAAGAAGGTCGCATTAGCGCCGAGACATTCCGATCTGTTGCAGAGTCGAAAACGCCATCCCGCAGAGATTGAATCTCTTTCTTTCCCCTCACAATCTCGATTGCAAGTGAACTGGTGTTTATTTTTTATTTTTTTGAAAAAAAAAAAAAAATTGAACGAGGGAGCCAGTGACGGATTGTGTAAAAAGCTACCTACTCTCATCATCGTCCTGAGGTAGTATCCAATAAAGCATCCGCAACGAAGCCACATAACCTCACCACGACTCTCACAGTCGTAGTGACTAGGGGGGGGGCTAAGAAAGGAACGAAAAGGAGTTGCCGATGGGGGTGTGGGTTTTTCTTCTCCCCAAGGACGGGATCGTAGGCTAGAGGACCAAGCCGAATTCACGGGAGATGTCAAACACCACGGCACTCGGATGCGTTGGTTTGGGTTAGGTTACCATCCAGCCGGGCTAAAAGTAGCAAGCGTTCCCTTGTTGCGTAAACGTCAAACAATGTACACAACAAGCTATCAAAAAGAGTATGCTGATTGCTTCTGGCGATGGTGGGCTGTATCCGAACGATAATAGAGCACGTATGTAGGTCGTGTTTCTGAAACGCAATCAATCTGTTCTAGAATCCTATTAATAGCGATGGCATCCCTGAGCGTCCCGGGAAGCCCTGCTGGATGGGAAATGGACGGGCAAAGCAAAAGCGCATCCCAGCCCCCCCCCCAGCAACGAGAGTGGGCATCATGGCCCAGCAAAGGTGGAGCCAAGGGACTGAAGCTAAAGTCAAAGCCAACACCAGAGATGAAGAGAGAGCCAAACAAATCTTGCTCTCTCTCCAGAGATGGACGGAGGAGCCACCTCGAGAGGGTCCTGGGTCTGCCCCTGGACGTCGCAGAGCCCTCATCCCTCCAGACAGCGGACGCAACGGATTTCAGCGAACAGGGCACCTGGGCGCCGTCAATTAAGGTGGTCTTGGTTAGTAATTATGCGAGTCCTGGGCGCGGGTGCAGGTTGTTCTGGAACTTCTGCGAGGATGGAATCAAAGTAGGTAAAGTGCCCGCATTGCCGGCCCCATCCTCGGGGCTAGGCGGAAGAGGAACATAGAAAGACATAGATGGACACGCAGTGAGAGCAAATTACCTAGGGTTTTGTGACGTAGAGTCTTTCTGGTAGCGTAAAAGAAGAGGGCACTGGAACGCCTTTGTTCCTCGACCACCTCAAACTCCACATAGAACATCAGAGACCGAGACCCCGGCAAGCCAAAAAGGAAAAGGAAGAAGGGAAAAAAAAGAAAGAAAAAAAGGGTCCACACAACCGCGGGCAAGTTGGGTGCCGGTGCCGGTGCTGGTGCTGGTGCTGGTGCCGCTGCCGCTGCCAATGCCAGACCAGACCAGACCAGACTCCCAGAGAAGAAAAAGAATGCGACGAAGAAAGGTGCCACAAGGATGGACATGAACGCCGTATCCACAATCAAGGGGACCGTGAAATCTCCACAGTCCTCGGTCCAGCCAAACGCCCCTCTCCCCTACCCAAACCTCTCTCTCCCAGAGCCATGGGGAGCCATGGGGAGCCGTGGAACAAGCCAGAAAGGGGATGGCCATGGAGTAATACGTACATCACTGTGAAACCTTGTAGGGCAAGGTACATGCGCCTTACGAGTACGGTACACTACCGGTATACACCGCAGCAGCTTTGCAAGGGGAGGGGGGTGGTCGGTGGGCGATGGCGATGGGAGTGTATGCTGTGTAACTGTAGGACCAGACCTTGCCATGTATGTGTTATTTGTTCCTTCTATTGGCTTTTTTTTTTGGTCAGTCCAGTCCCGTCCAGTCCCGTCCCCTTGCCCCGGCCTGCCTTGCCTTGCCTTGCCTTGCCTTGCCTTGCCTTGCCCTTCCCGTCGATGCCGTGGAATGAGATAAAGACCCTTTGGGATCCCCTCCATGCTTTCTGCTCTCTCCTCAGTGTCTGACAGACTCTCTCGTGCATCTGACTTGTCTGGAACATCTTGTTGCATCCTCAAACCTCTCCTCCCTCGACCCCCGTCGCCCCTTTCAGACGGTTTCCTCCGCCATTTCTCAGTTGCAAGCAAAGCTGCAAACAAAGAACCCTCCCGGACGTCGTCATTTCATCTAACCGCCTGCTAGCCAGAGTAACCGGGGACAGGAAGAGAGGGCGTCAAAAAAAAAAAAAAAAGGATTACAAATATCACCAGAAGCACAAATCCAACCACCACCATCACCGCCACCCTCTACAGCCAGCCATTGATACTCTGCGCCTTTGTCGAACAACCTAGGCCAGATACACCCCCGACTGGCTTCTTTGGTTTGACGATTTCTAGACATCGTCGACCGCCGGAAAGAAGGAAAGAAAAAACCCCCCCCCCACCAAAAACAAGAACCAGAAACGTCCTTCACCACGGCTTCTCCAGCGATCGCCACCATGGGTTCCCCGAGTGGAACCCTCCGCCCCCGAGCGTCGTCAAACTTTATGGGCCTCCGCGCCACCGGGTTCCCGCCGTCGATGACGCCGCAGGAGAAGCACCTCTTCTGCGACCGCGTCAACTCGGCGACGACGCGCATCTCGAGCACCATGGCCGCCAGCGAAACCCCCGAGGGCTACATCTTCGTCGTCTACTTCCACAAGACCGCCGCCGCCGACGCCCTCGCCTTGCTGCGGGCCGCGGACATCCGAGTCAGAGGCCACGAAATCCAGTTTTCCTGGCACTGAACTCTCCGTCTCTCTCTTTAGTCCCTCTTTCTCTCTCTCTTTCTCTCTCTCTTTCTCTCTCTCTCTCCCCCTCTCTCTCTCTTTCGCTCTCTCTCGCTCTCTCTCACACTCTCTCCCTCTCTCTCACTCTCTCTCTCTCTCTTTCTCTCTCTGCGCCCGTCCGTCCGTCCGTCCGTCATCTGCCGAAAGCCTGCTTACGATTCATCGCTGCTCGGGCCTGGGCTGGACTGGACTGGACTGGACTTGGCCAGACTTTCTTCTTGCTGGCATTGTGGCCTGTTTATCGACTCGTCACCTGCTCTCTCCCACGTCCGATATGCACGCCTTGCGTCCGGCGGCCGGTCAGAGTCGCCGTCGCATCGGTTTGGACTGCCTTGAGGGTTGATCCTTTCTCTTTTCTCTCCCGTCTCGTCATCCCTTACTTCTGCACAGCCAGCCAGACAGCAGGGAAAGGATGCCGAGTTTTCATCGAATGGCCTCTTGCACCCCCTCCCCCTCACTCCTCCAAACCATTCTCCAATTCCCGTCTGACCGCACCGGGATAAGTCCTTCAGCGATCTATCCTCCACCACACACCCCCTTACCAATCCTCGGCGATCTGCAGGTCTAGGCCGTCCCAGACCACACGGCCCCCCCTGGAATCCCGTCCTAATTTCCAAGAGCAATCGTCGATTCTGCACCCACTGGACACACTTGCTACGACACCCCGGCGCACCTTATCTCCGTTCCGTCGAAGCAGCATATCACAACGCTAAAATCGCCGGAGCACGGAGTTACCGCTGCATCTATATATGCAACCCACGCGCATCAAGCAGGGGACTTCGGTTCTGCAGTAGAACATACTGCTGAGTTCAGCTCGCGTCGCACCGTCCATCGTCCGCCCATCCTTTGCGCGATGGGCCAGCCGGAAATACAAAGGCGGGGGGGGTTTTGGGAGGGATATGCAAAGCGAGGAGGGGACGAGAGGATCAAGACGAAGACGAGGTGGAGTGGGAAAACAAGGGCCTGTGATTTGTGGCTATTGAAGTCATCGCCACTCCGGCCGGCCGTAGTCGCCGATGTATAGGGAATTCCAACGCCCCTGTTCATCAGGGCGGCGTCTCCGGCACTTCGGGACCCTGACCAAGGAGTGCATTTTGGTCGGCGATCGGAGCCGATGGGGTTCCGCGGGCAAATCGAGAACAAAAATTAAGGGCACACCCACTACCTTAGATGAGACGCGCCCACGCAACCGTCACCGGGCTTCCGCGTCTCGACGGCCCCCTTACCGGGAGTGGCCAGGGGAATATTTCCATGGGAGGAGGAATACGGTTGGAATTTGCAACTACAGCAAATCTGACAAACTATCAACAATGGCATTCCCAAGGTCAACCGGATCCCCGAATCCCAAATCTCCATTCCAGTTGCAAATCTTTCAACCTCCCTCTGCAAGGAAATCCCACAAGCAGGGAGCCGCCCTGGGCCGCAAGCTATCGAGCGCAACACAAAAGACAACGCCTGCGCCAGCCCGTATCAGAAAATGACAGGTCACCCTTGTACACGAACATCGGCTGACAGACGGCCCCGGTCGTGTTTGACGTTGATTACCGGCTCGTGGGGAAGCATGGAGTTGAGAAAGGGGGGGAGGGACGCATCTGCACCACCCGTTGCCGTTGCGTTGCGTCTCTAGCTTGGGGGGATCAATCCGAGGTCAAGCCAAGGCTGTGGGGGGCCATGAAGTGAAAATGAAAAGAAGATAGAGAAGAAGAAGAACCAAAAGTGGCCGGAGGCGGGCATCGCGTGACAATGCCCTCGTTCAGTTCCTCAAGTCCATAGCCTGACCAAACCAAAAGAAGTTGAACTTTACCAACCAAACACACCCAGCCAAAGTCCCGTAGCTTCCAGAACGCCGTCTCGTGATCGTTCTTGGAGCCGTTGCATCCTCTTCTCTCTCTCTTTCCTCCCTCTTCTCCCGCCTTCGAACCATTCCGTTTTCGTACCGGGCAGTTAACCATATGTAACAAGAGACAGATGGCCCTCCCCCCCTCAGTACCGGTACTCCCATTTTGGCTTTGAGTGGATTCCCCCCCTCCCCTCCTCCCCCCAATGCAGGTCAGCCTTTGCCTGGTCATCTCGCACGGAACCGCTTCCGGAACTAGTGGCTGCGTCCGCTATTGGTTGTGCGGGAGAGGTGTGATAGCTCACGGCTAAGCAGGCGGGAAAGAGACGCTAACCATCGACGGTCAAGGTGGCCAGTCAGTCATTGATTGGCTGTTTCGTCACCTTCAACTTGCGCCGTTTTTAGTCGGGAAAATCAGATCATGAGTTGGACGAAGCAACAATCTCATGTAAGAAAGACGGTCGTCCGGACCACGAGTCCCTCCAGCCCCGCGAAGCCGCTGCGTCCCATCACATGCGTCGAACAGCGAATTCCCGAGCATCTCCTCGGGTCAAACTTCCTCTGTCGTCGATCAGAAGGGTGGGGGGGGGACGACTCGATCCCAGAGGCCAAATTACGTGCTGCACACCCGCACATTAGCTGCTCAGGCAGAGAAGCACGCGCCCTGCCATCCCGTTGCCGTCGATAGTTCTTAACGGGCCGATTGCTTGTCCCCGTCAAGGGGAATGGCTGTTCAAAAAGAAAAATGAAACAGGGGAGACTCTACTACCCGTTACACGCTCGGGGCTTTCCCTTGTGCAGATTCGCCCCCCTCGAGAACTTTAAAGCATCCGAGAGGGATTCAGAGTATTCCAGACCGCCCGGCCACTTGGACGGGGAGCTTGACACGGGCTTGGCCCGGCGTGTCCAGCTCGCCTTCTCTCGAATGTCTCCTGTCCTGTGCCCACCTCGACGGCCCTGGGTTCTCCCATGGAGGCTCCCTGACGGTCGAAGCAAGTCGCCCTTCTTCCGGGACCCCGCGGTTCTACTCCGTCCCCGTCCCCCATGAGCCACGGCTGAAGATCGGCACCCCCGACGTCGGTGCATGCCACCCCTCCACTGTCCCGGCCCCGAAAGCAAAAAAAAACTTACTTCAGGTCGATTCCATCGCGGCTTGGATGAACCAAGGAGCGCGTGGTATGGGTGCCGACTTGCCTTCGCGCCTGCGTCGTCGTTCTTTTGATGCCTGAATCTCGCGAAACCCATGCCCTCTCCTCTGCCGTTACCAACGACGGCAACTTCGCGATCCGGTCGAGGAAACGTGATGTGCATGTGAGTATATATGCCCGCCTTAAAAAATAAAATAAAAATAAAAATAAAAAATAAAAAAATAAAAAAGCAGTGTGATGCGGCCGGCTTACACCCCCACAGTCCCAAAGCGGCGACGCTGCGGAACGACACACGGGCTTCTACGTCTCCCTCTCAAACCGGCATGGCGTGTTTTCGCCGCCCTCATCGTTTGACCCAAGAACGCCTCGCGAGACTCGATATTCAGCCCTAAGACCGGCCGGCCGACCAATCACCCGTCTCCGACAGGCTTACAGTACCGCCGCCCAAAGGGGCATAGCACATGCAGTGCAGGCGCGGCTTACACTCGTGACAGCCTCATCCCGTGCGTCCGCGACCAACTACCAATACGCTTGTCATGTGCAGCGATCTGGCCTTGCCGGTTCGGCGAGTAAACGGGTATACCTGCTGAGGGGGGGGGATCTGTATTCGTGGGAGATGAGCATCAAAGGAGACGGGCAAACTTGCGTCGCCGGCGGCGCAACCTGACGCCCGCGGACTGGGCTGTAATGCCAGCAGTCTTCACAGACGAGACGGCATACCACTGCAAAGGCAGGCTTTTTTCGCAGATGACCTCTGATCGATATAAAAACACTTGCTCGCCGGTGGAATGCGTACGTGGTTCTGAACGCTTGGTAGGACAACGATTCCAGCATCACGGCCTTGGACTATCGTCTGGCTAACAGCAATCCCAACAAAGACGTGTCGGCACATCAGCCAACTTGACCGGATATCTCGCGGTCTCAAGGCTCTCATCATATTCATTCTTCACTCAGCTCACGCGTCCAATTTCCAGTGTTCCTCTCGACTACCGGCTCGCGCCGCCCCCTTTGTTCCAGTGCAGTTTGCCTACATTCGTCCGTCACCATAGTCAAACATGCCGGTCCTTTTCGTATACGAGAAGCACCTCGTGGACCCGACGCCTCAGATTCCTTCGCTCGAGGGAAAAGTCATCTTCGTTACTGGAGGTAGGTTCCCTTCGTCGCAGTTGTTACCTCGCTTTTCTTGGCACATACCCCCCCCCCGAGGTCCAGTCGCCCCTCGCATCCTTCACACCAGGACCAGTATGCTCGCCAGTCGCCCAGTGTCTGTCGTTACGTTGAGAGGACATCGGACGCGATCAGCAAGCCTTGGTTACATCGCAAACGCCCCCGAATTCTGCTTTGAACAGCAGTTGCGGTGTTAGATGGGTTGATCAAGAAAGACATCGGCTCGGAATCTTGACCTCTTGGGCACCGCTTCAACAATCAATTCTTTGATGGCACTTACATCCAACATCCACCTGTCGACGGACAATGGATCGGAGTTCGACAAACCCTCGAAGAATGTCGCTGCAAAGAATCACCACTGAAGGAGCTGCTGGTATAGACACCAGAGGCCCTGACGACGCCGCAATTGCCCCGCGTGGACTTGAAGAAGCTGGTGTTCCCCGGATCCGGACCATCCCACTCCCATATCTGCAAGCGCGTCTCACAAATGGCCAAGGAAACAGTTGTATTTATACAAGTTGGACGTGTCTGACGGAACCACTGGCTGACACCCGATATGTATACCCCTCGTTGTCATCTCTGCATACTTGAGACCGTCATCTATAGCCACCGGAAATCAGAACCAGAGCTGACGAATCCCGCCCCTAAAGGCACAGCAGGCCTAGGCAAGGCCACGATCCTCGCCCTCCTCGCCCACAACCCTCTGCACATCTACTTCTCCGGCCGCTCTCTCGCCGCCGCCGAAGCCCTCATAGCCTCCGTCACCGCATCCTCGTCCTCGTCCTCGTCCTCGTCCTCGCCACCGCCGCCGCCGCCGCCGCCGCCGCCCCTGACCTTTGTCCAGATGGACCTCGCCTCCCTCGCCACCATCAAGCCCGCCCTCGCCGCCTCCTTCGCCCACGACCGCCTCGATGTGCTCATCAACAACGCCGGCATCATGGCCGGCCCCGCCGGCCTCAGCGCCGACGGCTACGAGATCCAGTTCGCCACCAACCACCTCGGCCACGCCATGCTCGTCCGCACCCTGCTCCCCGTCCTGCGCCGCACCGCCGCCCTCCCCGGCTCCGACGTCCGCGTCGTGACCCTCACCTCCGTCGGCTACCAGGGCCACCCCTCCGACGGCATCTCCTTCGCGACGCTGCGGACCACCCAGGCCGGGCCGCCGTTCCTGGGGCAGTGGACTCGCTACGGGTGGGTTTTTCCACGTGCTCCATCTCGCCTCCCCCCCCCCCTCCTCCCCTCTTTCTTACTCCTGTACTCAAACATACAGACGCGCCCAGTCTCGAATCGGCGTCAATACTGTGATGATAACGGACAAAGAGAACAATGATAACAGACAACAAGCTAACGTGCCAGCTCTCCCCCCGCAGACAGAGTAAACTCGCTAATATCCTCTTTACCCGCGAGCTCGCCCGACTGCACCCGTGCATCACCGCCGTCGCCGTCCACCCGGGCGTCGTCGGCACGGGTCTCGTCGAGAACCAGGGCCTCCTCAACCGCCTCATCGTCCACGTGCCTAACAAGGTCGCCGGTGCGCCCATCCTCTCGCCGGAGCGCGGGTGCTGGAACCAGGTCTGGGCCGCGGCCGCGGCCGCCAGGGGGGACCTCGTCAGCGGCGGCTTCTATTTGCCGGTCGGCAGGCTGGCCGACGACAAGCTGGACCGGTTCGCGACGAACAACGAGCTGGCGGGCGAGCTGTGGCAGTGGACGGAGGGCGTCTTGGCGGGGTTTGACTGAGGGGAGGGAGAGTGTTTAGAACCCCAACCATGTCTGATGTAATATTCCAAGTCTGGAATATTTAGAAACGGTTCAAGCAATCTATAAAGGTTCCTGTAACGCAGCGAAGAAGAAAACCCAATGGATCGGACGTTTCACAATTGTCATGTCATGTCAACGGCCCGGAAGCTCGCCCACTCCCACCAGACCTCCCGGGGGGAGCCGGAGGGCCTCCGCCGCCAGCGCACCAGTGCCGGCGTACCGGCATCATCATCGCAATCCGCCCCCCCCCGGCGGCACATATCCTTGACAGGTTTCACTATAGTGCAAAAAACTAATCTAGACGAGGCTCAACCGCCTATTCCTCATCGACGTCTCATCGGCGCGCCTTCGCCTGCCCCTCCAATGTCACCTCGGCACCATGTGCATCACCCGCGACGCGAACCGCCGCGACGGCCAATCACCGCCTGGTCACACCACTCCCATCTGACCATGCGTGATGAACCACGCATATCCCACCGTCAGATCGACCGTTCAATGTGCCATGAGCAGCGCCTAACGTCGTCGTCCTCCCCCTTCTGCTCTTTTGACGGGCGCCGAAAGAGTCGAGGCTCACGTCTAGCCTATCCCCAACTTAGACTCGCCACCGATCCAAGCCGCCGCCGCCGCCGCCGCCGCCGCCGCCGACAATTCTGCCGACGTCACGACGAAGAGGGATGAATGGCTTGTGACGCACGCGCCCTTCCACATTCCCAATCCCTCAAGGCTTGCCGATCGAACAGGGTCCATTTGCAAATTGCGGCTGACGGAGGTTGACTGAAGGGGGAGGGGGGCATTTGTGAAGAAGACTTGTAACTCGAGATTCTACCCCGCGAAAAAGAAAGAAAAAAAGAAACAGTAAGAAAGACACCAACAACCGGCAACACGCGAACCGCGCTGCCGACCGCGTTGATTCGACTCATCCAGGGAAATTTGGTAAACAATACGGAGTACGGCAAAGGAGTAATATCCAACCTCGCCCCCCTGCCCCTGTGCTGTACCCCCCACACTTGCATGAACTGCTGCGCGTGGGCTGTATTATGCCACGCCTTTCGCCCTGTCCTACGGACTCGTAATAAGTCAATGCTGTGGCACTCGCACAGCATCTGATGTATGTCGTCTGTCTCCTTCTTTGCGAGCCCCGTCCAGGAAGACCAGCGCGGAATGTGGCCCTGAGGGTTCATGGTCAAGATGACGATGCAAGACAGGGCCGCAGACACGCAACCACTGTTGGCCCCCGCGACGAGGGAGGCCAAATTCCAGCGCAGATCCATCGTCCCGGGTTGCTTGCCCCAAACGAGAGGGGATAACAAGCAGTTGAGGGGCGAATGTCTCGGTGAATCTTGTCGCCTTGACTATTGCGTCCTGGGGGGTTCCAAGATGTGCCAGCGAGTAGAGGCTAGAACGTCTTGTCTCCCCCGCCTCCCCCTTGCAACCCCAGAGAAGAGAAGAAAAGGTCTCTGTATCTGTAACCCCGACTCCATCCATGTATGTCATGCTCTCTCGCGTGTAGGCGGCTCGCTCGCGCTGCTGGATGACCGCCCTAGGGTGGCGGCCTAAGCAGGTGCAGATTCCGGAGATTGGGCTGGTCTACTACTAGCGCCGTGCGGAAGCGAAATAACATCGCTCCTGTTAGCGCGCCGGGGCGAAGGGTGTGACGTGGGACTACAGCATAGTGTAGTTGGCCACATCGGGGGACGGCACGGCTGTAGAGCCAGAGGCAATCCGCCAGCGACGCTGAGTGGGTTGCCTGATGTAATAACAAAGCCGTTACATGTACCGGAGTCTCTGGGCACTCTTTTGACCAGATTAGGATGTGGAGAGGACTTCATTTTGGGCTCGTTTTACCCAGATTGTCTGACGTCAGGGATCTCACCACCCAAGGCTTTTTGGTGGTTTTCGAAGAATTGAACCGCGGGCCGTTGATCGCCCGAGGCCGGCGGCGGACGGGAGACGAGAACCATCGGACCGTCATTGCTATGTGCGCAGTCCCAGCCGTGTCGACTCTCGGTGCTGTTCTGCCGTCCTCGGTCGATATGATCGATCAACGACCCGCCCCCGTCTGCCGGCAAGCTCTGATCGTTCGTTAACCTTGGATTATCCCTCGCTTTCCCCGGCGATCAGCCCGCCCTGGGACAAGCTTGCGAACAACGTGTCATCTCACGTGGTTCAGGACCACGGGCCGTGTACTCCGTAGGCATGTTCTGATTAATACTGAAGCAAGATGACAGAAACTTTGCATCACAAAGACCATCGGAGAAAGAAAAAAAAACCTATCAATGACCGGGTACGGCCCGGCTAATTCAGCGTTGTCATCAGATGAACTGTGGACAAGCTCCTTCTGCCGACTTCCCAGTCAATCAAGCTGCGAAACGCTCAATCTGCGGCGGCTATGCCGGGCCATCTGGATCTAGGCCGCTAGCTAATATCGTGCAGTGCCCGGGGACTAGGTATGAACGTCCTGGGGTTAGGCGGGGAAGCGAGTAAACTCTGATCCTGTTTCAATCTTTGGCATTCGTCATTAATGAGACATGCCATCGCTCTTTTGCCAAAGCCCTCGCATCCACGTGTCCAATGCAACGTTGCTCACAATGGAATTGCGCTTCATCTCGATGGTGGAAAGCCATAGGGCAACGCCGGGTGAAAGACAGTAGGGTCGGCCAAAGGGTTCTTTCTTGGTGTTTCCTAGAATACCAACCCGCCGTGTGGCACCGAAATAGCCAGGGCACTCTGGCTTCCGTAATCAAGGTTGATCCTGGGCTAGGATAGCGATGGAATCCGGGCAGCCGTCAAACTTCGCTGCCCGAACAAACAGCAGCCATCCGCCCAGGACTCTGTCATTCGTTTGCGGCATCGGCAGCAGCAGCGTCGAGCATACTCACTCATCCTTATGCCCGACTCTTGTGGTTGCTCTGCCTGTCTCTTCGGATTGGCGACGCAGACCGGTGGGAGCCTTTTGCGTGCGTGCTGTGTGTAAGTCCTGTCCTGTAAACATGCCTCGTCGCTCGCTACACTTTGCCGGATGAAGGGTTTCCTCCCCCTTCGTCAAAACCCACCGTAAGCTTTGTGCGCGTTTCCATCCGACGGGTTTCGAGCTTGGGTTTTGAGTGATCGCCGCTCCAAACGGAAAAGCGTCAGGACCAGGGATTTGATTGGGCGTGGAAGCCGACGGCTAATCCGCAGGGATGAGCCGGGGGAAGAGAGTTTTGTGTGAATATTGAGTTAGTTGCCCCTCATCGAATTTTCGGCTTGGGAGGCGCGGGGTGTGCGAAGAAAAGATTGTCGCTGTCCTGCTCCCGACAGACCGGCATCGACCAGTTACCTAGTAGGTTGGTTGGCCAGCGACAAGTGGAAAAGCCTGACGGGATCGCCGCCCACCAAATGAACCCAATAATTAACCATCCCAGGACAACCGGTGAGTAAAGCTGTGGATCTCCATGGATCGTGAAGTTGACGGCGTGGGGGAGATTATTCAAAGACATACCTAGGCAACGACACGTGCTGCCGCAGTCGAGTGCCATCAAGTAAGTCAATGGCCCTGTAGTCCCAGGTCACCGTGGCCCAACACGAACGAGCAGTCAATAACTGGAAGCCAGTGTTAGATAAGAGAAGCCCATTTCACTCCGTACGCAGTTACGGGAAAATTGCTCGACTGTAAAATAAATCCAGCCAGCCCACCCCGACAAGGATGGGGGAGGGGGGACGCGGGTGGAGAAGGTTGCATGGTAACACGGGTGATGCGCAGAATAGGTAAGGTATGTTGCCAACGGAGTTCGGCCAAACCGACGGGGTAGGGCATTTGTCATGGTCGTCAGAACCATCATGAAAGGGCTACGGCAAACAGCGATCCCGGATGAGCCTGAGAGATGGGCACAGCGCTTTCCGTGTTATATCACACCCCTTGCTATCCACAAATGATGAGAGCCAGAAGCCACCCGCAAAAAGTGAAGCTCGAAATAGGGGAGGGGAGGCGGGTTGTAAGTATAGATTAGGGGGCTGAGGGACATCAGGCACCAGACACATGGACGCATCTTGGATTCCGGATGGCGCCGCCGGGACGAGACACACCTTCACCAGAGCGGCCGGTATCCTCGGGCGGCTTGAGGCTGAACCAAATTGCCACCGGACACGGTTGGCGAGATTGTGAAAGCCGTGTCAGGCGAGACTCAAGAAAGGGGGTCCAGGGGACAGGACAGACAAGGCTTTGTCCATCGCCGCACCTTTCCCTGCAGATGTTGAGATACACGAGATGGGTAGAAGGCAGAACCCGGCCGAAAAGTCGATGTGCAACTTTGCATAGACTCAAGCTGGTCATGGACAACAACGAAAGTCGGGCCATGGCTGTTGAGAGCCTTTGGACCGTTATAGGGGGTGCTTTGCAAGACTCTGCAAACCATCCATCTAGAGAGTGCGGCGGCGGACGTGCAACGGTCGGCGCGATGGTTAGGCGGGTGGTCGGACATATTGGTACACAGCGAGTCCCGAGTCCCTAGAGAGCCTATCGGGAATTTTGCAGACACGCCCCCTCTCTCTCTCTCTCTCTTTTTCTCTCTCTGTGGGATGCGCGTATTGGCGCTTATCAAATCGTTCAATCGAGTCGATACTTCTCAAGTCCCCTGTAGTAGGTAATCAGGGACCTGGGCCTAATGCAACAAGCATGATGGTACGGATGCAAGCAAATGTGTGTATGGGTGCCGTACAAAAGCAATTTGGTGGGGCAGAACGGCAGGACGGAGACATGCAGCGAAGGAGCGGGAGACAGCCAGCTCCCGTTGATGCGAGAGCGGCACCCTCGTCTTTAGCTCGCGATTGGTTGCGGACGCCGGCGCAGGAGAGGCGGCTGGCGTTGATGCTGAGACGAGGTTGATTCGGCAGCAATGAGTTTCGTCGGTTTGGCGCGTTTGCTGTTCTGAAAAGGGATGGGTGACGGGAAGAGCCTCGAGGAGAGGAGTCGACAGCTGAGACGGGGGGTTGTTGGGTTGCGTGGCGGGTGCGAACTCGCCTAGCAATGGGAGCTGTCTTGTCCCAAGACGACGATGACGATGAGCGAAAGCGGTGCTTTTCTCCAAACCAGACCATGCTTCGCCTCAGATCAAACACTTGTGGTGGCGGAGATGACGATGGCGGCGACCAAGGTGGCAGAAAGGGGTCGTTGGAGGCGGTGTCGATCAAGAGGCACGTCGACATGTGGCGGCAGAGGGCGGTGGTGGTGTCTGTCATCCGTCACAGGGGAAGGAAGGGTATGCCTGTCTTGGATGACCATATTTTCCTTCTGTTTGTCTTGGCTTGGTTGATTTTTATTTGTGGTTGGTTTTTTTTTTTTGGTTGGTTGAGGAGAGTTTCTTCTTCGGGCCGAGTGCCGTACGGAAGGAAAAAAGGAGGAGCGGCAGATGTGGGAGATGTGCCGTGATGTCGATAAAGACGACGATGAAGATGAAGATCAAGATGAAGATGACGGCGGAAGGAGCATCCGGACTGCCTTGCTCTTGCTCTTGCTCTTGCTCCTGCTCTTGCTCTCGTTCCTGCTCTGGCTGTGGCTCTCTGGCTAGGTACCTAAGCTTACCCGCGCTTGGCCGAGCAAGGAAGGTGCGCGAAGCTGCACTTGCACTTGCACTGCACCTGCACCTGCAGGCTGCTCTTGTTGCTGTCAGGTGGACCCCAAAGGTACGTACTGTGTGGACTGATCTATTTATTATCGTGGCTCGCCGTTGCCGTCGATGTCATCGTTCATCGCGTGTGTGCTTGGACAGCTGACTAAGCTGAGGGAAGGACGTGCTTGGTTTGTGCGGCAGTTGCTCTCTCTGTCTCTCTTCTCTCTCTCTGCCTGTTCTGGAAGAGGGAAGGAGGAGAAGTAAGGAAGGAAGGAAGGAAGGAAGGAAGGAAGGCTGGGTGGGAGGGAGACGAGAAGAAACCATAGGGAGAATGGCTACTTCTGGCCCTTGCTTCCCCTTTCGTCCTCGCCCCTTGCATTCATCCATCCATTGCACTGCATTGCGTTGTGTTGCGTTGCGTTGCATTGCACGCACGCATTGGGCATTGAGCATTGCGCGACGTTCCTGCATTTTGGTTTGAGCCGGTCTGGACGTTTGCTTTTCCCCCTCAGATTGCGCAGAAACACTGTGGATATGGATATTCGTCTGTACTAGGTAGGTACGGATATTGTTGGATGCGCTTCTGGCTAGGTACGGAGTAGTTAAGGTACCTCTGTAGGTAGGTACTCCACCACCCCCTTGCCTCTCGTGTCCCCACTACCTAGTGTATGATATGTACCCGGGCAGGTACGGCTGCACGTGAGTTCGTAGGTAGGTACTCTGGTCTACATTGTTCATCGTGTTACATTACGGCAAGTTTTACCTACCTCCATGAAGCATATATTTGTATGTTCCCTGCCTTGATAACTTTACCACCCTCCCGGGTACTTGCCTGGGTACTATGTTATTGAGATGGATTTGGGTAGTGAAGAAAAGACGGGGAGGATACGAAGGGGAGGAGAAGAGAAGAGCGCCACACCGAATATGACACATGAGGCCCCATTCTCCTTCATTCGTCCACCGCTGCCATATCAGCACCTCAAACAATATCTGTTAGGCCCCTTGCGCGGACCGCTGCGACCTGCCTTAGCACCCACGAACAGACGCCAATACCAAAGCACCAAACACCGACACCAACACCAACACCAACGGCTACCCAAACGGTTCCCCCCCCCCCCCCCCCCCTTCCCCTTGGCTCGCTGCATCCCGCCGTCCATCTCCCACCCAATAACCCCACTCCAACAACCAGGACCGGGATCGGGTCCCTTGCATCGCGCGTCCAGACTAGACCACAGATGGACAAGTCCAGGAACAGGGTTGCAGGGGGACTCCGAGGGCTCCAGGCGAGGATGCACCGTGCATGGGGCCTCTTTCTAGTGTGGTGTCCAGCCGGGGCCAATCCCGCTCCTCCTCTTCCTCTTTTTGCTCCTAGTCTCACCCTCTGATTCCCCTCGAGCCAATCGGGACCTCTCGAGCCCCGGCCTCCACGCTCTCCTGTCTCCCCTCCCCGTCCTATCTATCTGGTGAGTCGTTGAGACAACGTATGGTTAAGGTGCTCATCAATTCGCCGTAGCTTGGACCGAGTGTTTCCTCATTACCTGCAATCCTGCATGTCTCTGAGCCCCTAGGACCGACACTCTTTCTCAGCTGCCCATCGTCACTTTGCCATTGTGTCGTCGTCGCTGGTCGATGTGTATTGTATCCTTACTGCATCTCTGACACTCTCACTCTGACCCTCACTCTCACTCTGATCTTCACTCTCGCTCTGACCCTCATTATCCAACTCACTCTTACTGCATCTCTCCTCCTCTCTCTCTCTCTCTCTCTCTCTCTCTCTCTCTCTCTCTCTCTCTCTCTCTCTCTCTCTCTCTCTCTCTCTCTCTCTCTCTCTCTCTCTTCTCACTGTCTTTTTGGTACTTATTCACACTATTTGTTCACTTTTAGTCGCCGAGTCTTGGCGCTTTCGCATTGTCATAGAATAAGCCCAAATTAATCATCATAGCATATGTTAGGTGCTGAAGGCACAGACACCGACGCCCATGCTCAACTCACGCCGGTACTAACCTTCATATCAAATCAATCAATCAATCACACCTCACCCCTCCAATGCCACCCCATCCTGCTCTATCCTGGCCTTTGGGCCATTCGTCCCGCTGTACGGAGTACTCTGTACAGGTCGCCCGTCTGTTGACCCCCCCTGGTGCCCCCTGACCCCTGCCGCCACTTGTACCTTCTAGTCTCCCTCTCTAATTTTCTTCCTCTCACTCACTCACTCTCTCTCGCACAGTGACTACGTGCGAGTGAGTTGATTGGTGAGTAGTTATACCTGTACTCGTACATACTGTACATACAGTATAGAACTACGGATGCATATATGTAAATTACGAAATAATATGTGCATTGTGCGCTTCCTCTTCTCCCTCCTTGATGTTCCCCTCTCACACCCCCCCGTTCGTCGCTCGGATTCTCCAATTTCTGGTGCCTGTCACCCTGTCCCTACCCTGCCCGGGTCCGCGGATCCGCAATTCTTCTTTTCCCTCCTGGGTCATTCCTTTCTCGCCGTCACTCCTTATCCGCCCATCTCTCCAATCGTTTCACTCACTTTCCTTCACTCGCCTGCCGTTCCTTGCTCTGTTCCGCTCGAGTCTGATTCCTGATTCATCTAGTCGACGAAACCCAGGTCATTCGTTTCCTTTTTTCTTTTTTTTTTTCTTTCCCCCCCCCCTCCCCCCTTCTCGTCCCCGGGTTTCGTTTACTTTGCCTGCCAGGGAAAGCTGAAGGGAATAAGGAGAAGGAAGAAAGGGAAAGGAAAAAAAAAAGACACTCGCCCAAACCAACGAGATAACGTCCTCCCGCCGTCCCGAGTCCTTCCTTTGCGCAACATCTCGTCTCCTCCGCCATCCTTCGACTCGAACACCAGCCAGTTCGCCGCTCTCCACAGCTCGTCGTCTACGCCCGTTTTTGCTTCTGGCCGACCTTATCTGACGGAAAGGAAACATACTTGCGGCTCTGAGGTCCGACAACTCTTTCGTATCTTCAATCGCCCAGTACAAACAACCACCCTCGACGAGACCTCTCCCTTTCTTGTTCTCGACGACAGCTCGATACGGCATCACTCTCCGCCTTGTTTCTCCCCCGAGAACACCTACCCGCCCAGCATACAAGGCTCCGACTTGGTTCCTGTATCTCAAGCCAAGCCGACGCACTGCATTTTGCCGCCAGCCTGTCGTGCAAGAGACCATCGCATTTCGTGTACGACCACGACACTGGACTCTCAAGAATACTGCATCTGCGAGGCAACTGGTCGCTTTCCGATCACCTTTCCGGCCCTACCATTCATAAGACCGCCACATTTTGTCTAACGCTTTCCATCCTCAAGACCGGCTAAGTGACCAGAAAGACGTCGCGACCTTTGGCCTGCCAAAGCCTCCATGCGACGCTGACAGTTGACTATAACTCTGTCTTGTTGAAACAGCCCCGATACGGCACCATTTTTGATCTAGGTATGTCCATGGCTTCCTTGGCTCCTAATGAACCCCCTTCTTCCGCTTCTCAGCATCCGCGTTACTCTGCCCAGGGATATTTGTTGCTTTTGCCTCAAAAACTTGGCCTGTGATTTCGTCCTAGCTCTTCCAGCTGCGACGAGCCGCACCGCAGCACCTGCGTCTCTGGCGCCTCGCTGAACTCAATTGCTCATTGATCACGCCACGCCCAAATCTTCTCTTTTCTGAGATCGGATGAGAACTCGCACGAGTTTTCAAATGTTCCTGTCAAAAATTGCTGCTGACTCGTCGCTGTTTGCTTCTGTAGCCATCCTGAACTTCAGACGCTCCCTCCCCTTCGACAAACTGTTAGCGGACGACATTGCACGTCTCAAACAGCCTGATCACCTTTCGCTCCAACTACTCCGCGCACTGTTCCGACGACCCTTAATGGCAGTCTCTTGAGGCAAAGCACCCATCCCCGAGCTCGATAAAACGTTCCGAAGGGAAAATAAGAGGTTCTCTTCGACGAATCGACACAACCCCCCTCCACTTGTCTCTGCGTGGAGAAAACACGACACGACAATCACCATGAACAGATTTCGCAACAAGAAGAAGGCGAAGGATGAGGGCGTCTTCACACCGCGGGCTTCTCAGGAGTCGGATTCCCCTACACCCTTTCGCTTGTTCGGTAAGGGGAAGAAATCCCAAGAGGAGGAGCCGAAGCCAGAACTAGATCTTGAAAATGCTTTGCCGCCGAGTGACGATTTCCGGACAAGTTTGCTTATGACGGGTCTCTCTGCGCGGTTTTCTATGCTCAGAGAACAAGATGACCCGCATAGCAAGCTTGGGAAAGCGAGCGATGACAGCGTCTTGTTTCCAAGGAGGCAGTCGAGGATGGACTTTGGCCTCGGCGCCAGTAGCACTGGACTGTCGGATATCGCCGAGGTCGCGTCCATCAGGAAAGAGATACCCTTCGCTCGGAAGGACTCGTACCACTCCGCAGACGGCAGCTCCATATCGGGAAGCGTCATGGATCGACCCAAGCCCGGCGAAGGCAACAATCTGTTCGGCGGTCGACAGAAGGTCTACATGCTTGCCTCGGGGGCCTCATCCTCCAAAACCCTCGGGCCTAGTGGCATGAGTGGGCGTGTCCTCTACGACGACGACGTGTCCCAGTCTGCTTTCCAAAAATGGAGACAGGCCGAGAAGAACAAGTTGGCGTTCGATGACGATCAGGACCAGACGAGCATCGATCTCACACGCTCCGACTCCCCCCCGCCCGCTGGCTACAACAGCAAGCGGGAGACGAACTCAACGACATCTTCCACGCCCTCGATCGGCCGCAACTCCACTGCAGCTACGTCAATCATGTCCCAGCCCGCATCTTCGGCGAAGGACTGGCAATCAACCACCACCGGGTCCAGCTCCGCTGCAGGCGCGTCACATCTCGAGAGGACCTCTACTCGCACACGGCGTCTCTACGAGACCGGGCTGAACCAGGACCTTCAAGAACATCAATCGTCGGCTTTGTCGCGCATCGACACGCTGTCACGGCGGAACATCGGCAGCAGGACTCCCGATATGCAGAACGCGCCGTCCCCAACGAGCAGTCTCTTTAGTGATCGGTTCAGTGAGCGGAGAATTCTGGCCAAGGGCAGTGCGCCCAACCTGCGGTCCGCGAGCCCGCTAACGACCGGGAGCCCGACCCCCACGACGGATCTGGGCATCACGAACCCGGACCCCAAACCCTCTTTCGGCGGAACCCCCCCGCTTAGCCCGCCCATCAGTGAAGGCGAGGAGAACTCCATCCTGCCCAACGACCGAGGCAAGGCCACCGCCATGGGATTGTTCCAAAAGCCTGCGCACTCGTATGACGAGTCGAGGTATGCTCAAAGACAGCTCCAACTCCAGCAAGGTCGCGAGACGCCGACCAACAGGTTCCGTGCCGAATCCAATGCCTCTTACACCACTGACCGGTCGCGCTCATCTTCGGCCCAAAGACTCCCGATCGAGAAGCCTGAGCCGGCCGTCCAGACCGAGCCGACTGTCAAGGAGGAGGAGGCTGGCGTAAGCTTCTACAATGAGTCTGTCTCTTCGCCAGATGAGATCACAAGACCAACTACGGCCGCCCAAGGTGCGTCAAGGCGACCCGCGGATCGCGATCATCCCGCACTAAGGGAAACCTCTGGGCCGGCTCCATCGACTCGGATCTCCGCAGCCTCCGCTGAGCCTTCCCCTGTGTCTGACCGGTCTGTTGCTGCCGCCGCCGAAGCGTCAGCCGACTCTCAAACAGTGCCTATCGACTCCCCAACCCTCCCTTCGTCATCTGGCCTAAGCGGCATGGTTCGCCAGCACCTGCGGACCGACAGCACGACATCCTCCATCTATGGTCCGGGACCACAAAGCTCGCAACTTGCTTCCCGTTTTCCACTAGACCCGTACGATAACAAGTCCATGGCGGACTTGGGCATCTTGGCCAATCCCTGGGAGGCTCAGTCACCCGACTGGAGAAACTCGACTTTCAGCGGCAGCGGCAATGACCAGACGACTGCCGAGCAGAAGGAGCAGCCCGCTCCCCAACCCCGCCAGCGTCTGCCATCGGACAACCAGAATGCGTCGCAGAATGCATCGGAACGCAACGCAGTCTCCAACAATGGGAAGGAAAAGGAGCACGATGAGTTCGCCAGCCAGCTTGCCGACGGCGCGCGTCGGGTCCGCGAGAGACTCACATCATACGTTGAGTCGGACCGCGACAGTCGATCTCTATCACCCAAGCCCGTGGAGCGTGTCAGAGAGCCCTCCTTGCCTCGCCCAAATCCGTTGGGCATCCTCAGACAGAAGACGAGCCGCGGTTCTCTGATTGATCGTAACCGGGAAAACCGTCAGGACAGCCAGCACTCCAAGGCCATCAAGATGCTCGGCCTTGCTTCATCGACCATCAGCAGCGCCCCGAGCCCGAACAAATCCAGCTTTGATGACAAGGAGCCCCCGTCTCCCGTCCACGACGAGCGCCACAAGCCCGGCTTCCCCAGGTCGGAAACGACTCCGGTGCTCCCCTCGCAAGAGACGGGCAAGACCAAGGAAGACGAGTCCATGCATGCTGGACTGAGGACATTCAGACAGGCTAGAAGGCAGTTGTTGGAAGCCCAAAAAAACCCCTCGAATGTCCCCACTGCCCCTGGCCAGATGCTCAGCTCCATGGCGACCCCCCCCATAGTCGGCCCTCCGGCTTCGCGGACGGCCCCCATTCCTAGGCAACGGTCCGCCTCCCGCGAGCGACGACCGCCTCCCATTACCTACCAGCAGCGGGCTCCGAGCGAGGAGCCCCACCAGCCCGGTGACGGCTCTGGACGTGCGGAACGCAACCGCAGTGGTTCGGAAGCCAGCAACGGTGACAAACACCGTCCCGCGCGGCTCCGGACCGGCACGGGCACTTTTCCACAGGAGGACCGCGGAATGAGCCTCAACCCCGGTAGCTCTCCTTCAGGTCGGCCACCGATGTTGCAATCCCCTGGCCTCCCCGGCACCAACATCCGTCGGTCGCCCATCATGCCGCCTCAGCCGTACCCTAAGCCCCTAGACCGATCTGCCTCGGGCAACCTGGCCATCCAGTCCCGTCGCCGAGGAGGGCCCGAATCCGGACAGCCTTCTCCAATCTCTCCTATGGCGCCGATACCTTCGCCCTCGATCCCCGCTAGCCAATCCACGCCAACTTTGGCCCCCCCTCGGCGTCCTTCGGCACCTCCCATGCCGTCGCCCAGTTCGGAAGCCCATGGCGCCAACCGCCTCGACGAGTCCATGAAGAGGGTGGTCAGGAAGCAGGACATATCCGAGCCGACGTTTGTCTCGTCCACCTCACGGGTTCCTACCGTGGCTCTTCCCGAGACATCGGACTCGCGGTCGAGAAGCGGCTCGAGTGCGCGGTCTGGCAGCATTCTGGGTGCTGCTTCTTCGACACCCAACCTGCATGCTACCATGGTTGCTCACGCGAACGCGCCCCCTCTTCCTCCCATCAACCCGAAGCGCCGCAACATGATGGGCCGCAGAGGGGACGATGGGGACGCGAGCTCTCCCCTTTCGCCGCCACCCGGGGTTTCTGGCGAAAACGGCGGTGGCAAGCATGGCGCCTTCTCTCTTAGCGACAAGGATGAAGGATCCTCGCAACACCGCCTCCGGAAGACGACAAGCGAGGCCAACGGCATGAACATGCGAGCCCGCGTTACGCGTGGCAACAGCCCTCCCAACATGCCTTCGTCTGCGGGCATGGCTGGCGGTATCAACAACGGATCTCTGCCCGGCGGCATGATCTAAATCTGACGTCTCTCTCTGTCAGCCTGTCGCCACGACATTCCTCGTCGTCGTGTTTCTAATCTCTCATATTTGGTATCAAAAAAAGAAAGAAGAAGTGGATGGTGGGACAAAAGGCGATAACAGGGTCGGTCATCACGAATGTAACGAGAATGTTTCCTTGTACTTTGCTCTTGCTTCTTCTGATTTGTTTATCCACACCCGGTCGTATGAACCCGTGGTGTATTATTGTATATTCCATACTCTTTCTCCCCTTCTTTGTTTAGCGGCAGCATCTCTATGCTCAGCCCTGTTTAACATTGAGCTCCTTGTGGGAGTCTTAATTGGGTGGGTATTCGTCGGCCTTTGCGGGTGGCCTGAATGTGGTCTTTTCTTTCTTTTTTCTTTTCCTGTTATCATTTTTTTTTTTTCGTGGTGGGCCTGGCGTCTACTGCGGACGGATATCTTAGCGTTGGCCGGACAGGCAGGGTTCGCGCGCGCGGCTGTCCGCGTTTGAAGTGTACCAGAACATTTCGACACGGGCGGCTTAGGGGGGGGCCTGGGTGGACAAGGGAAACGGAGGCGTGATATACCATGTTACTTATTACCTAGGGAGTGTGTAGTGGAGAGAAATCAAAACCTTCCAAGACCAAAGCTATGCTGATGATGTTCTAAACCTCGGGGGAGGGTTGCCAATGCTGCTTTTCTCGGCTCGCTCAATTATACAACGTGACACGACACACACTTGGCCATATTTCTGTCTGGCGGAACTGACCATCGACAAGCTTGGCTGCCGACAACGGGACAGGAACGGCGGGTAAGTACGGTGAATGTGGGGGGGGAGGGGGGGAGGGAAGGGGAAATGGCCTCTTCGGCCCGGAATGCCGGCCGGCTTGATAAAAACCACGGACGCGCCCTATATGAAACATCATCCTCTCATATACTCCGTACGCTTTATTCTCAGTCTGTTTTGGTCGGTAGCTCTTATTCAACTTGCCCATCTTCGGCCTCCCGGAAGCCAGTGGACGTACGCGCCTCGACCCAAGCAGCCAGATCGAGACACATTACCCCCGCTACCCCGCGAGAATCCCCCCACCAGAACCACCGTTGCCAGCAACGTCCGTCGGCCGTTCCCATAGCCGTGCGCGCGCACACAAGACTGACCTATCATCACGTACACTCACCCGCCGACACTGCTAGTCGCTGCTCGGGGAACATGGCCTTCATTCGCCCTTACAAGCCGTCCGACTTTGAAGCGACAGGACACATCGTACGTACATCCCCCACCCCCCAAAAAACAGCATTTTGACTGACTGCCCCAGTGCCGTGCAACGCTCCCGCCTTCCCTCCAACGCTCCGAGGCGGCGACCAGGACAGCGCCCTACCTCTGGACGCACCAGTACACGCTGCTCTCGCCCTCGACGTGCCACGTGCTCGACGACGGGCAGGGCAACGCCGTGGGCTACTGCATCGGGTGCCCCAACGTCGAGGAGCTGGCGGCGGCCTACCCGCGCTACGTCGCCGAGGTGCTCGAGACGTCGGCCGAGCTCGCGGGGCGGCGGCCGCGGAGCCTCGAGGCCAGGGCGCCCTGGAACAAGCCCGAGACGGGCGAGGTCGACGAGGAGGCGCTGCTGCAGCAGGCCTTCAACGCGACGTGGCTGGTGCTCGACGAGGACAGGGCGGGCCTCTGGCGCGGGTGGCGGGCGACGATGCACATCGACCTGCTGGAGCCGTGGCAAGGCAAAGGGTGGGGGAGGAGGCTGATTGACAGGTTCGTCGAGAGCCTGAGGGAGGCGGACCGGGCGAGGGGCGGCGGCGGCGGCGGCGGGGAGAAGCTGTACGGCAAGGGCGTGCACATTGGCGTCGGCGGCGAGAACGACAAGGTCGTGCCGTTTTACGAGAAGCTGGGGTTCCGGGTGCAACCTACGGGGGACAAGGGGTCGTCGATCTGGATGACGAGGGATCTCGAGTAGTAAGTAGCCTTTTCTGTGGTCGGGGAGAGAGGGAGAGAGGGAGAGAGAGAGAGAGAGAGAGAGAGAGAGAGAGAGAGAGAGCCGCGGCCTTGTCTATCACACTGCGGCGCGCCTGAGGCCGAGAGCGTGCAACTGCGGAACTCCCATGGAGAATCGCTGCTTCACTGTGCGGCTGTAGGGTATCTGTCAGAGGGACGCCGGCGTGTCGGGGCGGGACCGGGGACGGGCGGAGAGCACCAGGCCGCTCTCATAGGCCGGGAGACGCGGCGCGGCGGATGTCGTGGACGTCCTTACGGCGTATGTTGACCTGGAGCAGCGATGGCGGGACGGAAGGATTCTGCGTCTGGTCTCCGAGGAGGAACCGGGTCACGGCATCGTATGTGCAATGATATGCTCCGGTGACAATATAACGAAGAGTAACACAGAATGAAGAAGAAACGTCGGTGTATCGGGGCTTCTGCCTTGGGCAACAACTACGTAGGTCGTCTGTGGCCGTTCCTTCCTCGTCTTGTTTGTAGGGAGTCATGCTGCACCTTCCCTCGACACGTTGCTGCGCTTTCCACCTCTTTCTCTCCCATCCCTCCCTTTTGCTCTTCTTCTTGTCCTCGCGTCTTTCTCCTCCCAACAATAACAACTCTCGGCTTCACCCTCTTCTTATCAACCAGGCACAGAGAACTCCATTGTCCGAGTCATCTTCACCATTCAGCCCTTGCTGGCGCGTAGCGAGGTTCAGCGCTCCCACGGGCCTGCTTGCCTTTCCCGGCGTCACCATACACAAGTAATCCACCAACTTTTACTTTACGACACCTCTTCCCGTTGACTCTCAATCCAACTGGTCTCAAGTCGACTTACTGCGGCTTGAATACCCTGCCTTTTCTGTCAACACCTTACTCCTCTCTCGGCTTCCGATACCTCGCAGCGCTTGATCCATTCCAAGGATTGGTATGCCATCTCCCCATTGTGCCGGGCACTTGAGCTGATCTTGCTGAACAGGACACGCACGCACGACCCAAAATCATGGTGGGAATCTCGACACTCCCCACAGAGCTCATCCGTGAGATGTGCCATGACATCCGGGGTGGGTAACAGCACCGTTGAGCACAGACGCACATGCTTAAAGTCTTTAATCTGGGCAGCCGGCAAGCAGACGGCATCGCACCACAGGCAACAAGCCATGTGATACGGCCAGAGACTTACAATGGGTCGATTTGTGGGTTGGTTGTGGTGGTACAACATGCGATGCTCTCCCTCCCATTTCCCTTTCTTTGGTCCGTCGGCCGCAGTCGGAACACGATCCGAGATTGCTGTGTTAGCGCCGCTGCGCGAGAGCCACTTTTCCCGGCATCACTTTGCCCCCACGCTTGGCTGGTGTGCGCCGGGAGATTTGGGCAAAATTTTGGTATGAGGAGAATTTGAGCATGTCGGCGTCCTCCGCTTGTCATGCGACTCCTTTGTGTTCCACACCTAGGGTAGGTAGAGTACTTTTTTTTTCTTTGTAACAGTGTTTATTGGATTTTTATGATTGTTTTTTCTTTTTAACTGAGCGGCGAAGCGAGTCTTTTGGTACAACCCCAGTGACTTGAGAATATCAACAAGAAAAAAAGAGGTGATGGTTCGTTCTCCCCCCATTCCGAGCGTTCCGCTGCCTCGAGTCCGTCCTCCCGTCCGTTCGCCCGTCCTTTTCGTACCAACGCCTGTGCTGAAAAAAGAGTTGGTTTCCAAACTAAAAAAACGTGGGTATGAGGGAGGGGTATTCGGTCGCAAACAAGAAGAACTGTGAGTGGAAAACGGAAATAAAAATACAAAGATTTCCCAGCAGGCAAAAAACTTTGGTACGCAGAAAAGAAGGCTAAGAATAGAGAGGCACCCCCCGGGGGGGTTCGTCGTCTGCCTGGTCGCCATACGGGGGGGTGGGTTGGTCGTGTGGATACACTACAGGCGGGACACGGCACCGAAAACTTTTCGTCGGAGCCTCATGGCCTCGTGGCCTCGTGGCCTCGCTGGGTTTCAGCGAGAGAGGCTCGGAATGCATCGGCTTGAGCGGTGGGTATCTGGGGGGGTGGGGCCCCCTTGTCGGCCAGCCTGGCGTGTTTGTAGGTGGTTTTTGTGTGTAATACGGTTTTATTTATTTATTGGTGCTGATGGGTGTTCGGAGCCTCTCTCGGTGTAATGTGCCGCGGAGCCCAGGTCAGGAAGCAATTTTTTCCCAAATTGCCTTCTCAACGGCCGGGCTCGTTATGGACGGCTCTCGTTGGCTTAGAGGCAGGTTCGGCACTCCTGGTGGCCGCAGGAAGGGCACGAGGTGCTGATGACGATCATGCTTCCGCACTTGCAGCAGGAGGGAGCGACGGGCATGTTGGCGGTAGGTTGGTTGGTTGGTTGGTTGGTGGGTGCAGGTGTGTTTGGCTGTTGGTGTTGGCTTGAGGCTGTCGATGTAAGTCTGGCTTGGTCGTCAAGCAGGAGTGAGAGTGAGAGTGAGAGTCAGAGTGGGAGATGTGAGTGATGAGAGAGAAGATGTGGAAGAAGACGGGAGGAGAGAGGCCGCACTTATAGACATTTCCCCTCTGCCCACCCATCTCATTCTCTGTCCATTCAGGCCAAGTCTTTTCGGAACCTTGGACCCCTGGTCTGACCGGAGCGGTTGTGGTTCGAAAGAAACGTCTAAGTGGTGCACGGCTCAGTCGGGGGGGAGTGTGTGTGCGAGGAAGGAGAGGCGAGGCAAGGCAAGGCAAGGCAGAAAAAAAAAAAAAAAAGTCAACAAGGTATCCATCTCCAACCCCGACCCAAGGCAGAAGTGGAATGGAGGTGCCATGTCGGGTTCATGGTTGGTTGGACGGACCCTGAGATGGACGGAGAGTGCGTGTGAGTGGCCGCCCGGACACAGACAAGAGACAGACGCAGCATAGCCGCCGGGGGGGGGTGGCCACCAGCAGCAGCTCGGCCTGCCGATCGAATCCAATGCGGGGTTTGAGTTCGAAATAGTTGACAGGGCTTTATTACACTACGGAGTACTCTGTATGGAGTACAGCTCGGAAACTTGAGAGAAGCTGCGACATGGGACCTCTCTCGTGTCTCTCCCCTCGTTCTCACCCTCACTCTCACTCACACTTTCACTCTCACTCACATTCTCACTCAACCCCCCTTGCGGGCGAATGACAGACCGGCATGACCAAACATACACGCCCCGACCCTGAGAGGCTCTGACGTAGGTATCGAATGGAGTGCGCACACGAGCCAAAGGGAAAAAGGGAAATGTGAGAAGAAAACCGAAAACCGAAAAAAAAGAAGAAAAAAAAGAGTGTGTTCTGTGTGCAAGACCTGGGCGGCGGCGGGGGAAAACCCAATGGTTGTTTCTCTTACACTTAGCCATCGAGTAACACGTTCAACCACACCATACTCTCTCTCACCCCTCTCCTTCGTCGGCAGGCTCCGGGGCTCGGCGGGTGAAACACAACGCTTGGAGATGCACAGATGGGTTGAGGCATCTTTTTTGATTTTTTTTAATTTATTTTTACTTTCTCATCGTCGCCGCCTGGTGGTATACCACACACACACACCAACCGCCACCTCGCCTCGACCCCCCCCCCCCCCCCGAATCCGGCTGAATCCATTCGTCCATGGACCATCCCAAGTTGTCGTCTGTCGCCCTCGCCCCTTCACTCGCCGGCAGAGCGGGCACCCATCTCTCTTCCAGAGAGACATGCAATCGAGACACGCTACTACCTAGTGTATGTCTGACGTCGCCGCCTCTTCCGAGTTGCAAGCCGAATGGAGACAATACTGTAGAATACAAACGCAGGCAGGCAGCGAGGACGGCTCCCAGAAGCTTCGAGATAGCTCCAGCTCCCCACGTCTCCCTCCCCCTCCCTCCCGCCCAAGCTCCCCGGCTCTTCCGCTCCGACCACGCCGGCCTCGCGTCTCTCTGCAGCGAGGGTGTGCAAATGAAGTGAGCACGGCCAGCCTCTCTGCATGTCGACCTAACAAGCTTTTGGCAGCAGGCAACGTGTGTGCGTGGTTTCCTGCTTTCCTGCTTTCCCCCCACGTCGCTCGGGCTGCTGCTGCAAGTTCCGCCTCTGCACGAAAGCTGCAGCCAGCTAGACGCGGCCGGGGTCAGGGGAGACGATGCCGGGGGTGGAGGCCAGTCGTGACAGGACAAGGGGGGGTAGATGCTGGTGGTTCAGTGTGCCATTTTCAGACATACTCGGGACAAATCCCCCCCCTTCCATTGGATGGTGAGGGGCTATTATGCGAATGCTGGGGAAATCAAAATGGGAAACCGAGCTAATGGAAGGCCCCCGATTACCTTGCAGCACCATGTGGAGAGGTGGGCATGGAAGATGGAGGGGAGGGCTCTGTCATTCTGTGGAGGAGGGAGCAGGATGCAACCAACAGCCGCCAGGCTGTTCGGATTCGGAGCCGGGACGTGGGTTTGTGCAGTTAGACGAGATGAATCTGTGGGCGGTCACTTCCTTGGCCTTTCCTGACTCCCTCGACCGAAAGGTTTGAAATTGTCAGTCCAGCGGCCCGACTACCTGTCTGTCCGACTGCCCCTCCTCCCTCTGCCTGTCTATCAACGCCATCGTACAAGCTCCTCGGAAGGGAGGGATTGACCGATGATCTACCACTATCCTGCCGTGGTCTCGGCACGTATGGTAATGACGATACGTAAATCAGTACCGGTACAGGACCGGCCCTCAACCAGTGTAGTGGCGGCGGCCGCTTTTGATCGCGGCCTCTTGCTACCCCGCAATTCGAGCAGGATCGACTGAGCAGAACTACCTTTCCCTCTCCAGAAGCCAAACGGTCAGACGCGTCCGGGGACGACTCGGGGAGGCGAGGGAGGCTCGGGTGAAAGGGGGGGGGCGTGAAAGTGGAAAACCTGGGGCGAGAATGGCAGCCTCCCAGAGGCTGAACAGTCGCAACTGTCGGAGCCAGGGATCGCATGCTCCCAGCAGATATTTCGGGGTAGCCTTTGAGCGCGCTGATTTGTCGGACATTCACCGAAATACTACATCCCTGAGGGAGCAAACGGTCGGTCCGCAGAACAGAAGCCACCTCTTGACGTGAAGTCAAGTCGTCAAGAATACATCAAAATGCCAAGAACAAGCACAGAACAACGTGGGGCGATTCAATGCAGCCTGGCGGGTTTGGTTTGGTGTGGTGTGGCGTGGTGTGGTGTGGTGCCGGGGCAAACATGGGCCGACTGAAGAGCCCGCTCGACTCTCGGAGGCTCGACTCATGACGCCCCAAACGCTGGTGGAGAAGAGGGCACGCCGGCGATGCCCGTCGAATGGGTCCGTCCCTCTCTCGGATCTCCCTCCGTCGTCATACACGTACGGCGTCATCCATCCCTCGATTGGGCCAGCAAGAAGCAATCGCCGGACGTCGACGCCGTTACCCGAGGGCATCGCGAAACGAAAGAGAGAATGGAGGGGTGAGGGAGAAAACAGGGAGGCAGAGGTCGGACGACGGCGTCATGCCGCGAAACCGGCGCCGATAGACGCTTTCCCTTCTCCCCAAGGGTGGGCCTGTCCTTTGGTTCCTTCGTCATGGCTGGACGGGGCCTCGCCTGTTGGGCGTAGATACATGTATTCACCACGACAGTTTGTTGGGTGCTATTGCCTGTTCGTCGTGCGGTTAACGGACTCGGCTCTTGGCGAGAGGCAGTGAAGTGCTGTGGCACAGACAGATGACGGAGAATGGTATCCAACGCGTCGTCTGGGCAGGGCTCTAAGGAGCGCGTAACTAATGGAATGAACAAGTGTCTCAGTCGTGTCCCTCACATTCTTGCATCTCCCATCCCTCGGCCATCCATCTCCGCCGCCAAACACCGTGCTTAGCTTTTCCCCATCTGCACTCTCCCTATGTTGGGAGAACATACGGGAGAGACTGCACGGAACGGCCGAAGGTGCAGACGTCGATGGGCTTTTTAGGTCCCTGACAGGCGACACCCGTGTGCTATATAGATGACACCGACCAACGCCATGTGCCAAGTCCTCGGGGTTCCGGCCTAGCTCTCGCCTGGTCCCTCCCTTCTCACTCCCTGTTATTCCCTCGGTGTCCAACTATGACGCAGATGTTTCTGCCAAAGGGTTCAACGCACGTGAAACTTCAAAACAGGGGCATCGGGGCGACCGCCTAACCTGGCACGCAGGGTCTCGTGTGGGGACAGAGTTTTGTGCTCTGGGGGAGAGGGAGACAGCCATGTTACACCCCTGTCCAGCATTGGGGCTCTCAATGCAACAGGAACAGACACACACACGCACACATTACACACACACATTACACCCTGCACATTGTGGGATGGGGACTATGGGGAGAAAGCGCTGTGCTGCGCCTCACGGCGCCGGTTGGACCAAGCAAGAGACCCTTGGCGGCGTTTGCGTTGCTAGTTTTGCAAGGCATGATTTCCCCTCATCCTGGCTGGCCGAATGGGACAGTTCCCTCAAAGTGGCAAAACGGACGCACCGACATGCTGTTCAGGGTCCCAACACCAGCAATGTTGTTTAACTGTTTCCGTTGGCTCTGGGCATGGGACGACGGATGAAGCTGCGAGATGGGTTGGGCGGGCGCTGATGCTGCTGATCCTACGGCTGCCTCGTCTGACAGGAGCGGCAGGCAATCGAGTCACAGGCTGTAAGCCGCTACCATAAGTACCGACTGTCCTTTTTTTTTCTTTTCTTTCACGAACCTCTGCATAGGGAGGGCTTGACTCGAACGCAACTGGAACAACGGCGGCGACGGTGGAGGGAAGAGGCAAGACGGTGGCACAGACGACCAGGTCGGCACCTTGGTTGTCCCCTTCTTTCAGATGGGGATTGGGCGGCTCTTTATGTCTGCCGTATGACTGTTCACCGCCGGCCCTCCCTTCCAATGTGGCTGAGGCGGGCCGGACTGGGTGAGATTAGCTGATGCCGACCAACGAGCAAACAGTCCGACTGAGGCTGTGCTGCCGGATCGGCTTCTTATTCGAGGCCCGTCGAAACCCAGCGAGGCGTTGCTCGAAACGCCAAAACATTCACGGCAAGCGATTTCCCGAGACACTGGTTCCTGGGACAGAATGCCTTGGGGATCGCCCACGCGCCCATAGAGTCGGCCCTCGGCCATGACTGTGCCGGGGAAACAAGCCTGCATCTCCACCAGATACTCCCAGAAACCAACACATCGGGGGGGAAGGGGAGACGCTACTGTCAACACTGCCTTGGACAGGGCTCCAGCTTCGATCGACTAGAGTTTGCTCGGAGCGTTTGCCTTTAGGCAGACGCACCCGAGTTCGGATTAGTCTGGGTGAGTGAATGAACGGCATCGGCTGCCATTGGCTAGCATCCGCCGGTCGATGGATTGAATGAGTGAGCTGGCCTTCTCGTCCTCCTTGGATCTTGCCGGACCTGGCCCAATGGGCGTCAGCCCAGTTCGAAATCCGACCGCCTGAGCCCCTCGTCAGCGGATCTCACCAGAGTGTAAGGACTGAACCAAGAGTGAGGCCAATTGTGTTTGGTATTGCAGATATATATCTGTGTAACCGCGATAGTGTCCAGTTCTTCAATACCATCACCACCCGCTTTCTATTCCTTGTGGTCTCAGAAAACCTTTTACCTACAATAGCTAACACGTCGCAAACTTCTAGTCACAATGGTTGGTAACTTCCGAAAGTGACCGGCCGTCAAGCTTATCTACATGCTGAGCTGACATGGACTTCCAGGTCAGAAAGTGGTTTTCTAAAAGCTCGGCCGAGAGCGCCTCGCCTCCTATCTCCCGCGTAGACTCTGCAAAGTCGGGCAATTCGAAATGGACGATGACCACCACCAGCACAGTCCAGGAAGACGCCCCTTCCGAGGACCTCGCTCTCTCCCTTCATCCGCTCGCCTCGCAGGACGGCCTCATCGCCAAGGTCACGCCGCCGACGCAGCCCTCTAAGCCCACCGTTCACGTGCCGTGCGATATTGTCCTGATCATCGACGTGTCGGGCAGCATGGGCTGCAACGCCCCCGTACCCGCCAACCCGGGCGAGAAGACGGAGAACTACGGCCTGTCGGTGCTCGACCTCGTCAAGCACGCCGCGCGCACCGTCCTCGAGACCCTCAACGAAGGGGACAGGCTCGGCATCGTGACGTTCGCGTCCAAGGCCAAGGTCGTGCAGGAGCTGAGCCCCATGAACGCGAAGAACAAGGCGCTCGCGGAGAAGAACATCAACAGCATGAGGCCCATCGACGCGACGAACCTGTGGCACGGCCTGCTTGAGGGTATAAGGCTGTTCAACACGGGCGGCGAGATGAACATGGGGCGGGTCCCGGCCATGATGGTCCTGACGGACGGAATGCCGAACCACATGTAGGACACGACCTTGCCCTCGATCCATCGATACTTGGCCTATAGGGGGGAGACTGACAATATACAAGGTGCCCGATTCAGGGGTACGTCCCCAAGCTGCGTGGAATGGAGCAGCTGCCCGCATCGATTCACACGTTTGGCTTTGGGTATTCCCTGAGATCGGGTCTGTTGAAGTCAATTGCCGAGATTGGCGGCGGCAACTATTCCTTCATCCCCGATGCCGGCATGATTGTGAGTTCGTTGGCGCTTGTAGGCCCCCCTCCCGACCGCTGACATTCATCGCAGGGAACCGTCTTCGTCCACGCGGTGGCCAACTTGCAAGCGACTTATGCCGTCAATGCCACCTTGCGCCTCAGCTACCCCGCCTCCGTCGACCTGGACGAGATCGGCGGCGACTCCGTTGTGAGGCAAGAGCCGGTCACTCTGGCCGAGGAGGACGGCGAGCCGAAGCAGCTCTCGATATCTCTCGGCAACGTCCAGTACGGCCAATCACGCGACATCTTCCTCAAGGTCACAACCTCCCAGGGCTTTGTGCCAGAGAACTCAACCGTCAGGGCAGTGATCGAGTACTCCCGGATGACCAGCAACACGTACAGGCAAACGGCCGAGCACTCTCTGCGGGGGGCGCCCACGACTCTCCCGGAATCCGAGATAGCCTACCACCTTTCTCGCTCCCAGATCTGCTCCTACCTCTCCTCCATCATCCCCATCCGCGACGACGGCGAACACGAGGCCGTGAGCGCCGTCTCGCCCCGGCTCCTGGAACGGCTCCAGGACCTCATCGCAAACCTCCCCGCCAACGGCTTCCCCTCCGACCCCCAGAACAGATCCGTCGTCGAGGACCTCGCCGGCAAGCAGCCGAAGGGGCAGGTCACCCTCGCCCTGTCGAACCCCGGGTACTACAGCAAATGGGGCGTCCACTACCTCCCATCGCTCCTCAACGCGCACGCCCGCCAGGTCTGCAACACGTTCAAGGACCCCGGGCCGCTCCGCTACGGCGCCGACAGCCCCCTCTTCGTGGCGTGCCGGGACCGGCTGGACGCGGCCTTCGACAACCTGCCCGCGCCGACGCCCTCGAACCAGCGCACGGCGACCCACCGCGGCCGCGTCAGGATGAGCTCGTACAACAGCTCCTCCGGCGTCTGCTTCGCCTCCTCGACCCCCGTCCAGCTGGCCTCGGGCCGCACGGTTCCCATCAAGGCGCTCCGCCGGGGCGCGGCGGTGCGCACGCCGTCCGGCCCGCGCCGCGTCGTCGTCGTGCTCAAGACGCCGGTGCGGAGGGAGATCATGTGCCGCGTCGGCGACCTCGTCGTCACGCCCTGGCACCCGATCTCGCTGGACGGCGGCAAGAGCTGGGCGTTCCCCGCGGGCGTGGCGGACCGCCGCTCGGTGCGGTACACGGGGTGCATCTACTCCGTCCTGCTGCAGCCGGACCGGGACGCTGCCGCGCACGCGCTGAACGTCGCCGGCGTCTGTGGCGTCACGCTCGGCCACGGGCTCGTTTCCGGGCGGGACGCGCGCGCGCACGCCTTCTTTGGCGACTACGAGAAGGTGGCCGGGAGTCTGAGAGCAGTAGGCGTGGGGAGGAACGGCGTGGTCGTCGGCGGAGGCGTGGTCAGGAACCCGGGGACTGGACTGGTTCGCGGCTTCAGGACACACGGAAAACGGTCTGTTTTCTTTTCGAGTAGGAAGAGGATCAACTTCTCTGTTGTCTAGTTTGCTCCACAGGCGTTCTGTTTCGGGTTCCATCTGCGGCACCGAGAATGCCTTCGATAGCTAGTCTTCTGGAACGTTAAGAATAAAAGAAAAAAGAGTTCCCACGGACAGAATCAACGCTTGCCCAAGTTTTTTTCAGCGGCCAAAGCTTCTGCGGAGGAGCTTTACTCACGTCCGAAGACAGGGTGACATTATGTACTCGTTAATATCACCGTCATAGAGAACACGGCTGTGGTTTGCACTATCGAATTGAACGGGTCTCAAGACTTTCTCCAGCCCCCTCCCAGAGAGAGTGATAACTCGTAAAGTAGTCATGCGACTGGCTTTCGGTCTTTCTATTGCGGGCATCACCCTACTTGCTGCGCCCAGCTATTATCACACTAGCACAGTAGCAAGATAGGCGATATATCGGATCGCGCTGTTCCAACTATTCATCCAAGATACAATCTTCTTACCACACGTTTGCGGAAAAAGGTTTTGCCTCTAGCACCCACCTAGCTGTCTTTGCTCTTCATGACTCTACCCAGCCCGGCTTCGTGTCCGCCTTTCACAGAATGTGCTGAACAGACCCATAAATGGCAATATATTTCTGTTTTCGTGAAGCGCACCCCGATGCCGTCGTCCTTGTCTGCGGGTCTGCCTGCTGCTATACTCTGTAACATCTTGACCGTGGCCCTAGTTAGGCGAAAACCGTGTGGCATAGGTTCCTCCAGGCACAACGGCCTTGGTGTACACATCCTCTCAAGAGGAGGCATGCTTGACTACTCTCACGGAGGGGACTGCTTATGGCAAGCTTCTGGTTTCTATTTGTCGAAATTTTGTTCCCAGCGAGTTTCGTTCCAGCTACTGATCTTCCAAACCATCATCCAGTGCATCTACAGGGAGTGCGGTACTTGAACACGCACCAAGTAGATATCTGGTTCGAGGTCAGAAATGTTTCCTCAGCCTGAGGCCGCTGGCATCGTATGTCTTGATTCTGGGCTTTGCATTCAAACAGTACCCTTGACCGGTTGCGACAGCAATCATGAGGAATGTCGGTTCAGGGGATGGTGATGCTAACGCAGGGCAAAGGATCCTTGCAATTCGAGCCAGTCCCGGTGGGGAATAACAAACTCTCAATACCTGTGGCAGAGCAAGGGAGGCGTACCTGACGTTGTTTTCTCATCTTCGTCACTTCAGCGTTATCCATAAACCATACGGCTAAGGTTCCCATCCCTTGACGTCCATAGGCAGATGAGTTCACCGGGCGTGAAGACGCAACATATCCAAAGGGGGGCCATTGGCGAAGGACGTGTCCAGTGAGGTTGAGGTAAGCTTTTAGGGCTTAACGCCACGTTCAACGTGTCTTGGGCAGTCTTTCTTGAGATAAACCTGAGTGGAGCAGAAGATTCCAGTCTCGCCCCTTTTGTTTTGATTATGATACCGCCACTTCCCGCTTCATGCTCCAGGGGCGGCCCAAAAGAACGGCAAAGGATCCGGAAAGCCGCAGGCCGTTTGAGGTAACGCCGGACTCGTTATTCAGTAACGTTTTGACATACATCGATACGTGTGGCAATGCTCGGCAGAAGAGACAGACTACGCCATATCCGGACATCGTTCAATATTCCATGAGTAAGGGCTACCGATATCACAGCCCCAGATGCTGGCGAAGTTTTTTAGTTCTTCAAAAAAGAGGATTCAGGATTCCCTTTTTCGGTGCCGCTTCTGTTTGGGGACTAGCGCGGGGGATTCAAGACATTGGCCCACAAGCGCACAGCTTCGTACCCGGTTGCGGAGGAATTCGTTAGCATCGAACAATGTGCTTGAGTCACGGCCGGCAAGTTTGCCTCTTTACCAAGCAACTATACGATCTTTACGAGGCTCTCAGTGATGGCAGACGAAAATGAGAAGGGAAACACGCATCACAAAGTTTATGGCCGTAAAAAAGCGAAGAAGGGGAAAGAAAAGAACAAGACATGAGAATGTTTGAATGATGTCGTCTTATCGACGTCGATTTCGAACATAGTTATCCAGATGCTGGGGCTCTTAAGAGATCAGCCGTTATTACTTCACTCGTTCGTAAAGGTTTCGTAACCTCTTGCATGCTACGGCCATCTGCTCTTGGCCTAGGTCTAGACAGGCCATTCATCCCTTTGGTCACTTGCCAGGATACCAGGCACGCAAGATATCCAAGGCTTTGCTGAGCATGGTTCCTCTATTCGGCGGAAGAGTCTGAACCACAGATACGAGTGGGACCATCTAAATTCCGTTGTAATGAAGTGGATTGTCAACGCTGGATGTTGACATATAAGAGGGACGTTTACCCGCGGGTTGACGAGTTCTTTTTGCCTTGTCACACCACCGACAACCAGCAGCCAACCGACAACTATTGCGCTTCAGTCGTTTCTGTCTTTAGACCACCCTTCACTCTTTACCCACTTTCCGTGGTCTCTGTCACTCGTTACCAGTTCTCACACTCGCTTCGCAATGCCCTCCCCAATGGCCACCTCTGCTTTCATGCTCCTCTTGGCAACCACGCCGCTTTGCAGTGGCAGCACTTTCAAATTTCCTCGTTATTGGAATACGACGTCGTCGGCTGCCTCTGACGTCTCGTCAACCCTTTCCAGTGAGACGATATCTCTGACTGCAACGTCTTCTACCCCTGCCTCGGCCTCTGCCTCTGAGACCATCCTCCCCAACCCTCCCCGCGTCGGTGTTGCTACTCATCTGGGATGCCACGACTCCTCGTCAGGGTTCCCCAGCTTCAGCCTCTCTCTTACCGATGAGCTGATGACCCTCGAACTCTGCGTGCGTACTTGCACGAGCGAAAACCGGTTGTACTCCGGGCTCTTCGACACTAGATGCTACTGCGGTGATGTCGTAGAGGCTCCCGCAGTCGTCCAAGTCGGCGAGGATCAGTGCAACATCCTCTGCCCCGGAAACAAGGCCGAGCGCTGTGGTGGCCGCGTAGGTCTTGCGAAGCGCCAGATCCCCGACGCTTTCCGCCTGTCAATTTACGCCAACACGGAAATCGTCTCGGGCGCAAGCTCCGCCTCCGCTTCAGCCTCCGCTTCCGGTCCGGCTCTTACCAACAGCATCACAGCTGCGGACTCCGCTGTGACTAGCACGTTCACAACTACCGTCACAGGAACTGTCACCAAATGTCCTCCCGGTGTGTTGAACTGTCCCATCGGATCTCTCACCACTGCTGTTAGCACCGTCACGACGACCTACACCGCTCTCCCGACCTCCCTCCCGTGCCCCAACGGCGAGTGCTACCACCTGCCCTGCTTTGGCCAAGACTGTAACCAGAAGGTTACGTGCTACGGAGACTACGTCAGCTACAGTTCCCAGTGCTCCTGCGCAGCTGACCGCCGCCGCATTGTCTGCGAAGATGGAGTTTGCTACCCCGAAACCTGCAGCGGAGACGACTGCGGCCGTAAGATCGTTTGCGAGAACGGGCAATGCCGGTACTCCCGGTGCCGGGGCGACGAGTGCACCAAGGAGAAGATCACCTGCTACGGCAACGTTTGCAAGATCGAGCAGTGCGAGGGAGATGAGTGCGACAAGAAATACGTCTGCGCCGACGGCACCTGCAGCCACCAATCCTGCCCGCTCAAGGAGGTCAACATCAAGTACGAGTGTTCCGGCGAGCAGTGCAACGTGGTCGAGCCCTGCAAGGGAGATGGCTGCCCCATGCCTCAGCCTCCGAACCCATCCAAGCATCTCGAGGCGTCCGGTGTCCCCCCTCAATACCAGCCCGCCTCGGTTAGCACTCCTGGTGCTTTCAAGCCTGCCGTCAGTATTGTCCAGCCTACCATCAGTCCTGTTCGGTCTGCCGTCATTACTGGGGAGTCAAGCACGGCACTGCCTCCGAAGCCATCCGTCGTTACCGCAGGTTCGAGCAAGTCCATCGCGTCGTGCGGCTTCTTCACGTTGACTGTGGGTGCCATTGCTGGCTTGGGCTTCCTGCTTTGAGGTTGATCATGGCCAGACGAAACCATTTCTCTTCTTAGTCGATTCTAGAGTCTTTAAACAAAAGACTTTAGTTCGATGCGTGTTGAACCGTTCTAGAACGGTGCGTTGTGCGCTTTATATTTTTGGTTCTGAGGACCTGTCTTGGTCCCGGATGTGGAAGCTACCATTTATGGAAGAGCAGTGTGCACTTGAATATTACAAGTTCGTTAAATAGAGGGCATACGACCGGAAAGTGTCTCTCACGCATACTTGGTAGTGTCGTTCAGTTTCTGAGGGGTTATAAAACAATACAAATCTGTTTCAATTCTACTCGTCTTGCGTCGTTCTGCTCAGAAGATTGGTCTATGGAAATAAGGACCATGTAGCTGAAGACATAGTTTCTTTCTGATATCTAGCATTGACCATTTCTTGTATTGCGAGCAGCTTTTGACGTATATATTAGCAATTTCATGTTGATAGTGTCTCCGGATGCTGCAGTATATGAGCCTAGTTTTACAGATATCGTTGGAGAAACTCAAGCGAATTATTACTGAACGGAATTGCAACCGTATTTTGAAGGCTATTAATGTTTATTCAGGGACAAGAAGTAAGGTTTATAGTCCACGTATCGCTATGTAAAGGGTCAGTTGTTATATACGACAAAATATTACTAAAAAGTCCAACTGCATCAAATCACGCCAGCTTCGGAGTGCGTACGTTAGTCGATTCTTTCTCTTTTCTTGTTCATAACTCCCTGCAACAAGCAAAAGGTTATCTGGGCCCTGGCCAGGGATCGAACCTGGGACCTCTTCCAAGCTGATGAATATTCAACAACCCTAAGGAAGAATCATACCGCTAGACCACCAGGGCTGGTGATGGTTGTGAAAACCGGGTATCACTCGTGTGGATGCTGGCGTGAAAATTATGCTATATGGACCCTGTGGGTTGTGGAGTCACGAAGCCGTCATTTTGGCTAGTTAATTTGCAGCATGGCCTGTTCAGATGGGACCCTTGTCACCTCTCTAATATATCCAGAGCTATATCTGGGTCGAAAAAAGTGTTGTATGATAAAATGCTGTCAGAAAAAGACGGAAATGAGTGTTTTGGTCCATCGACAGTTGTCGGTCGTTGGTACTCGTTCCGCCCCCCCTCTCGAAGCAAGAAGCCGACGATGTTTCAAGCTGTAGTGCCAATCCAGCCCCTCGCTTTGGTCCTGATACCTTCGGGCGTGACGGGCGTGGTATTCCCTGACTCCAGTCCAGCTCGTTGGATGCTCCGGAGAAACGTGCCAATGCCGATTCCGTTGCTCGCTGTGCGCCCGAAGAAGCCAAACAACTTCCATTTTGTCTCAGAGTTGAACCCCTCGTCAAACGAGTCGAGGTACACCAAAGCCATGCCGATCGGCAACGGTGCGGATTGTATCCCAAAAGTGCCTGCTGAAGGATGGAAAAGGACTTCGGCGATGTTGGCGATCTTGGTGCAATAAACGAAGGGGTCTGTCCGCTCAGGCAGCTCCAAGCCGGCATTTTTACCGATGGCTAAGCGGAGAGTGCTGTATGACAAGAGTGCTACCGTCCAACACAAAGTCATGATGGAAACAATGGCAACGTCACAGGCCGATGGGTTGTCGAGGCCCCTTGCCATGAGTTCCTCGAGCTCCTGTTTGGGGCTCAGGTTTTCCAGCCACCACGTGAGCTCTTCGTCAATGCGCCAACATTCTCTGACGAGTCTGGTGCGCCTTGATTCCTTCTCGAACTCGTCTTTGCAGTTCCTCATGTAATCCAAGTCTTCGAGAATGCCAGGTACGTCAACGAAGATGTCGACCAAGACGTCTTTTGGGGTTTTGGGCACGTCTTGCCATGGGACCGTTTTCCAAACAGGATGGCTGAGCGGGCATCTTTGTCTGCGCCTGATGGACGTAATGATCTACCCCGTCACCGTTAATACATCAACCTGCAAACAATTCGAGCTGAAACAAACAAGGGAGAACCTACCAAGTGAATTCGTCCTGATGAGAACAAGTCATGCGCCGGGCCTTGCACGTGAGCCTCCGGACTTCGCTGCAAGACCAGGGCCATCTCGCCCAAAGCGTGGCCTTCCCAGCTTTCAGCTTGAGAGATTCCATACCGCTCTCTATCGTCGGCTCCATACAGTAGCTGCAGGTTTCTCATGTCAGCTGGAATACGTCACTCGTAGCTACGCACCTTACTTCATAGAAGCCAAGCAGTCTCGAAGCCAACATCAATGCGTCTGTCTTCCATCTCTTTGGGTGTCGCAACGCGACTTTCAACTCACTGAGGGCGTCGCAATAGAACCGGAGGCCTTCATCGATCATCCACTGTTGCTTCTCTCGTCGACCAATTGTTCCGAAACTGAGTGCCAGTAGACTCTGTCGCAACGCAGGATCGGTGCGATAGAGATCTCGAACCGTTGTCGCCCAGTCGGCATTTGAGTATCTCACGATAGTGTTTCCGGGGACACAGAGTGGGGTTCCAGGCATGTAAACGTCCCAAAACAGATCGAATATCTTCTCTTCAAAAGCAGACTGGGACAGAGACGGTGGTTGATGGATTGTACGTGCAACGGAGACCGTCGCTTTTAGATAGCTGCAGGAGCTTAGGTTGGTGACATTGACAAAGATGCGCTTCCTCTCGTAACCAGCGCATTGGATCCCCGCCTTCTGACACTGCCCGCATGAAGGCCGTTGCAAGTCACACTGGGCACAGTCTCTGTCAGCGGCATGTATGTTGCGATGCTTTGAGACACGTCATCTCCCGTTAGCAGAGAGACAGACTCACGCCCTTCTTTCGCTTGCGGCACGTATTGCAGCCCTTGGAGCGTCCGGGAACCCCAACCATGATGATTATGAGGGACTGGGAGAGGCGAGGATTGGGTGCGCGAAATGCTTCTGATTTGGGACTGGTAGAAATGAATGTGTTAGATAGATAATATCCCGGCTCTATATCCTTAAGTAGATGCACGAAAGACAACCCCAAAGAAACTGCGGGGCGGGTAAATGCCAATACCAGAGAAGGATTTGCTGACAAGCCCGCCAGTCATGCCAGTCCAATCAATGTTGCAGCTGCGGCACAAGTCTAAACCCCATTGGGAACCATTCTGCGCGCCGTGGGGGTTCAGGTTTGCGCGGTCTTTCTGTCCAAGCCCGAATCTCGGAACCGTGGTATCGACTGTCAAAGGGATTCGCGCGCAATATCTTTCCCAAAGTGTTGAAACCGCAGCCTTCTTGGCTCTGCCCACACTTACGAGTCAACTCACATCAGGCTGTTCCGCAAATGCCCATGACTCTATGTGTTGACAGCGCGGGGTCGTCATCATGGACCGGGTCGCAGTGTGAAGTGTATAAGAGACCTGACTCGCCGCCACAACTCTTCACTAATATGTTCAGATGCAATCAAATCACGCGGCAATCTTCTTAGACACATGAGCTTGTAACCATATCACCCATCGAGTTGCAAACTGTGCCAACACCGCAAAGTACATCAACATGGTCGTACCGACGCGTCCACCGGCCAATCGCTTTGTCGCCTCAATGAGAAAGCTTCACAACCCCCTTGGGTTCTCCAAAGGTTACAATTTTGTCCTTTTCTTCATCTTCTTTGGTGCCCTCATGGGGTTTACCCTCGCCCGGTTGCAGTACCTCAGCTTCGACGCGTTTTGCAAAGGCGCAGCTCCCGGAGAATGCTTCTACTACCGAAAGGGCCATGAGAAGGCCGGCATCATTATCCACCTTGCCGGGATCCTCCCCGCTAGCTTCCTGGCATGCTTCCAGTTCGTGCCGGTGATCCGCCACAAAGCCATCTTATTTCATCGCCTCAACGGCTACATCATTCTCTTGTTGTCTCTCGTAGGTACAGCCGGTGCTTTCATGATTGCACGTCATGCATTTGGCGGTGGTCTTGACGTTCAAGCTGGCGTCGGGCTCGTGGGGATTATGTTTGTGGTGTCTCTCGTGTTGGCATATGTCAACATTAAGAGGCTTCAGATTGAGCAGCACCGAGCCTGGATGCTGCGAGCTTGGTTCTACGTGAGTAAAGCCTACCCGATTCACCAAAGATTCTTTCGCTAACCAAAACTCGCAGGCCGGTTCCATCATTACCCTTCGTCTCATTCAGTTCCTCGCTGCGACTGTCATCAGCAGAATGGGTACCTACTATGCCGCACGACCATGTGGACAAGTTGCTTACATGATCGATGACTTAAACCGAACACTCGAATTGTACCCTGATTGTTCAGCTTATTTCTCTGGAGCCAACCCCGATCAGCAAACGATTGTCCATGCGAATTTGCTCACGGCAGCATCTGCTGCTGAGGTCGGAGCAGCTATTAGTCTCCCATTTGGAATGGCCTTCTGGCTAGCAGTATCACTTCACGCCATTGGTATTGAGATATATGTAAGCTCGTGACTCTGCAGGAATATACGCAATGTATGGACGGAACTCTAACATGGTCGGCTATAGTTGAGACTCACCCCGGCAGAGGCTGAACGACTACGTGAAGTCTCCTATAAGAGACAATTAGAAGCCGGCATGAGCCCCGCAGGAAGAGCCGGACTGACGGCTGACCGCCTTGGTGATTCCGCGGAATGGAAGCCCAAGCTTGCGAAGCCCCAAGACAGTTCCGCATCGTTGGTATCAAATTGATGAGACCCTTATATAAAGGTAGAGATTGTTAGTACCTTTAGCATAGGCAAAACACTATATAAATAGAAGTACCTTGAAACTATTGGCTTTCGGCGGCCCTACCCCTCACAGGGGTTAGTGAGGTCCGTTCGCGCCCGATGGGATAATAGGCGCTCTTGACCTAGAGGATAACAATGAACAGAATGCATACGTCTATCCAGACAACATGACTAACTGCTAGCTTGCCGAGACCCAGGTGGAAATTTTCATCTGATGACCTCTCATATGGGCCTACCAATTGACTACCTAGAGACAGGCGTCGAGCACCCTCGTCCGTCAAGCTCCGGGGTATGCAGCCGTAACCGTTATTAGTTTCAACTTTACTTATCAGCAATTTCCCAACAAACTCGATATTTTATTCCGGTAAGCAACCGCCGAGGAACATGTAAAGAGAAGTAAGAAGTCTATCCAAAGCCAATGATCGCGCCATCATAGCGAGCGGAGGACAGTTAGCAGATCTTTCAATGCGGTATCCATGAATCTAGTGGCCTGTTCCTGCCTTTTCGTCGATGCATCCGAACTGTACTCCCCGAGGTACTTATCCCCCTCGGCTTCGTCGCTGGTCGCCCTCGCGTGCTTTTTCTCATCCAGGCAGGTCAGAAACCCGTGAATGGTGTTTGACATCTTGGTACCCGCCTCGACGGGGACGCATATATCATTCAGACGAAGTAAAACTGCCTTGTTCTGTCTCGGGAACTTGGTGTAGCGGTCTCGCGCATCGGCCTCGTTGGGAGAAAACTTGAGTGCTCGGAACGCGGCGATGAAGTCTTCCGAGACAGATTCCGACTCGCCGGCATGCTTCCCGGGTACAAGAACACTCTTCCACCGCAGTATCTCGAGCATGGAGACTCCAAGGCTGTAGACATCGTGTGCCATTGAGTAGTCGTGGTCGGACGTCGGCAGCTGGCGCTCCGGATGTTGATAAACCTTGCGCTGCAGAGACACCTCGTTGCGCAGCCTGGTAACGTAGCCCTCCTCGGTATGGCGGGCGTATTGCCAGCCGGAAAGGTTGATCGCGGGGATTAACTCGTCGGTCGTGGCCAGCGGGGACGAAGCGGCTTCCATGACAAGAATGTTATCAGGACGGATGTTCTTATGGACGAGATTAAGGGATTGCGTTTCGAGCACGGCAATGGCGAGCTGGCAGCACAGGTTGACCCGGAAGTTGAGACTCGGTTTCGTGGGATGTGTCTGCATGTATGCAGAAAGTCTCGGTGGCAGCTTGTTGCAGTCGAAGCCGCCGTTGAACACTAGCTCGAAGCCCCTGTAGCTAGGATGGAACTCCTCGCGGAATCCAAGCAGTTGGAAGATGCCGCGATCCGTCTGCGCCCGCGCGAGCCGCCCTGCAAGTATCTCCACGTCTTCTTTGGCAAGGGCCTTGTCGTCCTCCTCTTTGATGGGCTTGGATTCCACGAGGAACCATTTCGTCTGGCTGCCGTCTGTGGCTCTCGTTAGCCTCCCCTTGCGCAGGAACAAGCCCTCCCCGTAGGCTCCATTGTCGGGGGTGTCGATGTAAGTGAAGTCCCTGCCGGATAGAAACGTCGGCTGATCGTCAGAAAGCATCTTCTGGAGTAACGCCGCATCGTCTCGGAACTCTGCGAAGAGACCGGTAAGAATTCGGGTGCCGCCCATGTCCCGTAGCTCGTTCCTCGCCTTTTGTCGGGCTCGGAAGTCGAGAACGGACGAGTTTTCAATCATGACGTCTATAAGATCGTCTATGCGGATTAGGTGATTCTGTATCTGCTTCCATCGCCGTAAAATTCGTTCTTTGTCTGCCGGGTCGACCAACTGGCTGCGAAGCACCGGCTGCACGGCTTGAATGTAGTTGCTGTGCATCCGGCGATTGTCGTCCACCTCAAACATTTGGATCTCGCGCAGCAGTAGGTTCAGCTGTCTCTCGTTTTTGATTCTCTTATAGATCCTCTGGCCGCAATCGAAGAGCTGCTGTGCTGCACCGGCTGACGCGAGCGCGATGCCAGCGATCTCAATACCCGCCATTGTGTATCTTTCGAAGCTGCTGTCTGGGCGGATGGCCTAAGTGAGTTGTGCTTCTCGCTTTCCAGTAAAACGTTTTGCCATGATGATAGAAGAATCATGGGAGATGGAGTGGTTAATGGACAGTTATCCGAGGGGCCTGGGCCGTTGGCGCACAACCTCCCATCAGGCATCCGGTGTGGTTGCTTTGTGGGCTGCCAAGCGTCCGTCCACAGCCTGCCTCACTTACATACTGCCTGCAGATTCCTAGACACTGCATGACCATGCGTTCTCTTGTTACTGGTCAGACTAGATGTATCCGTACACCCAACTTTATCAAGCTATTTTTGACCTACGTTGATCCGTTCTGCAGATATGGGCCAATAGCGGCTCGGCTATGTCGGCCACGGAGCGAGTAGTGACCGCATCCTGCATATTGAAGAATATCAGGCTGTTGACTGCAGGCAGGAACAAGTACGATACGTCCCCAGCCAAATCCTTTGATTTGGCGTTCCCCCTCTCCTTCACACTTACGTCCCAGATACATCATTGTATTTCTGGAAACTGGAAGCCAAACATCCTCGGAGACCCTTATGTCATTACGGTGTCTCCGATCATTATGGAGTGTGCAGCAGCGACGATTGCAAGCATTGAACTATCAAATTCTATACACAGACTGCTCACGAAAGTTACCTTGAATTTGGAATCATTCAGCAATGCGCCGGAAACCCTGGAGCGACTAAGATCGGAACTTTGGGCCATCGAAAAGCTTCACATAAGCAGCGATTTCTTTGATCGCCGACCGAAAAGAAACACATATTCTGCCCGAAAAGATCCAAAGTCAGCTTTACTGCAGCTAGCGAAAGAACTCGCGGCCGAACTCCAAGACCTAAAAGATGGACTCCCCTCAACGAAGACCTCAGGTCACCTGGCACCACATCACGGGCGACTCCTCATTAAACTCGACAAATCCAAATTGTCTGAACGTATTAATAAAATCGCCGATTATCGAGAATATTGGGCGCGGCTACTCGATGTCTCTCAGTCGCCAGTCTCAGTCAAAGACTTCCTCCAATGGCTTTCTCCTCCGGACTTCTTTTCGAGACATGAAACGTTGTTGCAGTCAGCTGCTTCCTCCTCAAGCTCTTGGGTTTTAGAAAGCAATGTCTTGAAAGAATGGGTGGGATCGCCAGGGAAAACACTGTGGTGTACAGGTCGCCGTAAGTCTGACTCAACTCACAAGCCATGCTGAGCGCTTTCTCATTATTAAAGCGTTGCCATCTACTAACTCCCACGGAAGCTGGCACAGGAAAATCGGTCCAATGGTAGGGGTCCTAACATGAGAGTCAATTCTATAGCGACTGACGTTCCGTTTCCGTAGTTCCGTAATTGTCGACTTTTTGGTGAAGGAATTTCGGCCTCCTGACTTTGTCGGCTATGTTTATTTTGACGCCTCAAAACGATACGACCCTGTCGAGATTGCGTGCTCTCTTATTAAGCAGTTCGTTATTGCATCCGGCCAATCGTATGTGGACGAGGAGCTGAAGACGTGGTATTTCGAAAACAACGGCGCACGCCCAGCTTTGACGGCCGCCGCCGAAATGCTGGCACTCCTCCTTCGAAAGTCCTCAAGAGTGTTTCTTCTGTTCGATGCTATAGACGAGTTTCACAATTACACAGAACAGTTCATCCATGATCTTACGATCCACATGGGCGAGAGGCCACCAAACGTTCTCATATCGTCAAGGGAGCCGCTGTCGCCAAATTCTGTCTTTAGGGATGCACTAAAGCTGGAAATTCGTACAAGCAATGATGACATCGAGAGATTTTTGGCTCTCGAGTTATCAAAGATAGACGGTTTTACCAGTATGACTATGACAGGACATCGCCACAAGTTTGTTACCGACATCCAACGAAGAGCTGACAGCAGGTAAGCGTTGCTCAGATTTGATGACTTGGAGTGTCTTGTCAGCTGACATGCGTGAAGCTTTCGATGGATCTCTCTCATGATGATTGAATTTCGGTCCCAAGCAACTGCCTTGAACTCCATGCTCGACCAACATCATGACCCAGATTTGACAGGATTTTACTCAAGGATAATTGATGGAATCCGTCACAAACGTGCGGATGAGTTTGGATCAATGCTTGAGATGCTTACTTGGCTGGCCTTTGCTAAGAGACCGCTCAAGCATGATGAGTTACAAGCCGCGCTGACTTCCGACGTTAAAACCATGATTTTGCATGCCAAGGGCCTCGTCCTTACGGACTGCAGTAATGGCATATCATTTGTTCACCATTCCCTTGCAGAACACCTCCGCCAATGGATCCCGTCGCGGCTGAGTACATACCACTCTCCCACAACGCCTGACATCCTGATCCTGCGAAGGTGTCTCTCCTATCTCCAACAGCAACGTTTGGCTACCAAGCTGGCAAGGTCACCGTCTGAACTCGGGCTGAGGCTGGCACACTATCCTCTGCTACGATACGCTGCTGTTCACTGGGGCGACCACGCACGTGAATGCTACACCGACACCCTTCGAGACGAGATTATGAGTTTTCTTGCTGAGAGCTATTCCACGGAATTTGCTGGTCTTGCAATGGGGTCATGCGAAGAGCACCCGGACCGTTATGGAGAGGCATATCGAGGAATGATTGGTATCCATCTAGCCTCTGCGTTTGGTCTCTACCAGATCGTGGAATGCCTTCTTGCTTCGGGAACTTGTTACTTGGAGTCGCAAACGGAGGGAGACTGGACGGCTCTGCACTGGGCAGCTCGACGGGGCCATGAAAAAGTGGTGTCTACAATCCTACAGAGTACCAGATCAAACGGAGGAATCTCCAAGGCGCTCACCGGAATGACGACAAAGCTTGACGAATGGACCCCACTTCATCTTGCGGCCAAGGAAGGGCATTTGCCCGTTGTTGAGATTCTGTCCGAAGACAGGAGTGTCAATATCAACGCTGTCGATGCGCAGGGCAGAACACCTTTGTTTCTGGCATGCAGAGATACCCATGTTCTGGTTGTGCGCTTCTTGCTACGCAAGGGAGCGAATCCGAATTTGCAGGATGTCTACGGTATGACTGCGCTTCATTGCGCTACCAAGACGGGAGACCTGGAACTAGTGAAGGAGATTTTGCAGTCAGAACACAACGGACTCGAAATCAACATTTCCAACACGCTAGGATTGACAGTCTTGGATGAAGCAATGATGAAGGGCTACAAGACGATAGCCAACACTTTGGAAAAAGCAGGAGCAGTGGTCGGTCCTCTAAAGGCTCGCAGACGTACAACGTCAAACTGGACGGAATGCGAGATTTGGAAAAACGTTCCTCCCGATTCTGATTGGTCTGTTTACGACTATGATGGCGAGAAGACGAAACAAACAAGACGTGGAGCACAAGCTTTGTGTGAGGTTTTGAAAAGTACCAAGAATCCAGAGATAGTAAGTTTGGAACCAGGGTTTAAGATTATGACCCGGGCATGAGCCATATGAGTTGCATTAGCTTCTCTAACCCCTTTCCCCCTTAACTGTATTCCAGGCGCCCAGACCCAACTGACATTGGTCGTTCCCTCCAGAGAGTATTTCGCAAAGCGTTCCGAATCACAAAGACAAAGATGATTACCAGGGGCATCGAGGAGGAAGATTATGAAAGTAATCAGAAGTACTCTCTTTCGGAAAGACAGATCCTACATGCGCTCTGGCACCCACACGTAGTTTTGTATCTCGACTCCGACAGCGACCCAGAAAAGAACGCAGCGTACTTGTACTTGGAGTATTGCGACTCGGGCGATCTCCAAACTGGACACGGGCTGCCTTGTAGACTGCGTGAAATCAAGAACAAGAACGACAGAAAGTACGGTTTTCCAGACCCGTTGCAAACCGCAAAGATTTCAACCTCTCCACTGAGCGGGGTAGAGATTTGGGGGTTGATCTGGCAGCTAAGTTGTGCTCTCTCTTACTTGCATTACGGGCTGGCGATGCGATATGAATCAGGACGACTCGTGGCTGCGTTCGAAACTGATTGGGAATACATAATCCATCGGGATATCAAACCGGCAAATGGTATGTTTCGCAATCCTTGACTCTAATAAGAAGCTAACGCTAGCCGCTCAGTCGTAAAGAAGCAGATGGGCGATGGAAAGTATGTTTTCAAGCTGTGTGATCTCGGTGCGGCGACGCCGGCGGGTCGTGACAGCACGCAGAACCAGACCCAGCATATTGGCACCAAAGAGTTTCAGCCAAGGGTATGTGTATATGCCATGCGATTCCGTCGCCAGCGGAAAGCCTTTGACTGGTTTTGTCATCGGTAGTGCAAGCCGATACGCAGAAGTTCAAAGAGCTGATGAAACGAAACCATAGGAGGTTCTCGAGGGCGATAACTGGTCGCGGAAAGGCGACATTTATGGTCTTCAAGGTGAGTCTAACCCCCCTTGCTCCATAGCGCATGATACGGCGTGCTGCCACGAGATGGTTGCTTAAGAGCTGGCTAACACAAAACTACCACAGCGACTGTACGGCACACTTACAAAACCAAGGATGACTTGCTCGACCCCAAAAGCAAGTCTTTCCAGACATTCATGGAAAGATGCGGCAGCGACGACGAGAATGAGAGATTGGCCAGCCTTTGCATCATGGAGCTTGCACATCAAGAACTTCTCGCTAGTGGTAGAATCCGGGAATTACCATCCGACGTCATCAGCGAAATCGAGTCAACGCATGATGTCCTATCTGCCCGGAGCGGTGGCTACTTGTTGGGAGCGGCCTTATCCATTGTTCGGCTCCTGGATATCAATCTGCCATTTCAAGACCCCGAGCTGCAGGAACACCGGCGGCTGACCGTCCAGCGGCTCGAGGCCCTTTTTGAAGACGGCGCCAGAGAGCCATTCCTGGAGAACCCATCCGAGCACTCGATTCATGTTCTAGTTCTGTTATACAAGTCTTTCGAGGAAGACTTCGAGGAACAACTCAAGGCACTACTCTCTGTTGAGCATGGACACGATGTCGCGTGGAAGCAGTCAGGATGGACGCCACTGCATCTGGCAGCACAAGACAGTAATGAAGGGGCATTTAAGGTCCTGCTGCGCCATGGTGCAAATCCAGAATTAGAGGATATTCATGGATTAACCCCGCACGATTATAGGATAAGATCTACAGGTAAGCCTGGTGTATAGAAGAGGACCAATATGTTAGCCATGGGATTGAAGCTAGTTACTTAGATATTAACTCTTGTACATTACAGCAAGGACAAAATTAACTTAATCTTTAAAAGAGAACATATACTATTGTTAAGACTATACTGTATATAGTAAGGTTATGAGGTTAAGAGTAACTTATACTAACCAAGTAATTTCTTTAATAGAAAATAACTTAACTACCCCCTTATTAGGTCACCTCTGCATTAGAGACACCCTAAAAATGCTAGTTTCCTATACAAAATTATTTTTATTAAAAAAGTCTATAACATTACTAACTAATTCAAAGATAAACTGTTAGTATCACAGGGGTAGTTAACCAGAGGCAGCAATAGTGTATGTTACTATTGATGTAAAAGAGGTATAATATAGTTGAAGTTGAAAGTTGGCAACTGCTGTGGATATTCGTAGAGGTGTAAGTGAACCGCCGAGGTTTGTCACGTGACCTCGGATCGGCTCCACCCTCCACCGGTGATAAATATCCGACATTGTTGGTTTTCACTGGCTAATTAATGGGATCCCGTATCTCGTAATATCACAAAGGTTAAGAAAAGGTAGTCAAATTTATAGTTATTAATAGTTAACTAGTTAACAAGGTAAAGTAGGAGCATAAGTATAGCAGCACCCTTGCGTATAGGCAAGGGTAAAGGATTCTGCCAGTAGGCAGTGTATTATATAACCTACTGCCTCTAGCTACATCACCTATATGCTAACACTGGCAACTTTCTTATGTAGTAAAAGTCGCTAGTGCTCCTATTTCTCCTAAAAAGCCTAAAAATATAATAAAAACAAGAAGAGTAAAAGTATTACACTTTTTATAGTTATATACTACTATAAATTTATTTATCTGTTTACCTAGCAAAAGTAGGCTTATACTATCTTGTTTAGGTGTATTTCTCTTTAGCTATAGCTATTAAAGGCGTATACCTACGTTAAATAGATTTAACTACTATTAATCTATATAGTTTATATAACCTATTTCCTTCTCTAAGTGTCTATTATCTTATATTCTATTATTCTTGTTGTTTCCTATTATATTTATATAACTTATCCCTTTATTTATATCTTTACTTTATTATAAAAGATAAGACTCTTAAGTGCTTAGTTTAGTAAGGACTTTATAAACCTATTAGTAAAGTTATTATTACTATAGATCTATTATACCTTAAAAAGCTTATATTACTTATATAATTATTATAGTACTATAATATTAATTATTAAGCGCTTCTTATAGGTAGTACTTAACTTTACTAGGCACTTATATAGTAAGTATAAGTTAGTGTAAGTAATAGTAGAAATTAATAGGTTACTAAGCTTATTTACTACTATTATAATAGTTATAGAGAGAGTGTACACTATATTAATGCCTATAACTATACTATAGACTTCTAACGTAAGAACACTTTATATTACTTATTTAGATTTAGTTAATAAGAAATAAAAGATATTACTATAGAGGGTAAACTTACTTTACTTATTATTAACCTCTTTATTAGTAAAAAAGATAATAAATCTTAACTATAAAGTTAAGTTATAATTATTAGTAAAAGATCTATTAATAAACATAAAAAGCTTTATATTAGGTAGGTTAAGGGGAACAAAGGTAAGGCTATAGTTAAGTGTGTTTATTTACTACTAGATTCTTTAGTTAAGTTATTAAATAGCTTTATTATCTAGCTTCTTGTGCTAAGCTATAGTAAATAGGTTAAAGTATACTTTAGGCTAATAAATAAAAGTAATATATACGCCTTAAGTGTACTACTAGACGTAGTTTTACTAAGCTATAGGTAATTTCTTATTAATAAGTCTTAGCTTTACGCCTTAGCCTTTTTAGTAAAGTGTAATAGAGGTGTTATTAGCTAAAGTTAACAAGATAATTCCTCTGTTAAATACTAGAGGTTTATTCTCTATAAGTAAAATTTTCTCTTTTATAAGGAGCTTTACCTTAGTAAGCTTATTATCTTTGTAGTTAGAGAAATTAATACTAGTTAGGCTAATTATATTATCTATTTATATCCTAATTATTATAAAGTTAGGGTTTTTTATAAATAAAAGGAGTAGGCATAGGTTATATAAAGTAGTAACTATATTAAGCTTTTTATAGTAGTAGTAGTTATAAGTTACCTACTAATAGGTACTTACTTTAGTAAAGCTATATAATAGCTTTACTACCTTTATAATAGTGCCTTAAGGGTAGTAATTATAGATTTAAAGGGGAAGTTATATATAGATAGTGTAGTTAAGTTATAAAGTTAACTATATATAGGCCTATGTTATATCTTATAGCTATATTACTTTACTATTAGCTATAAGGGAAGAGGTAAGTATAAGAATTATATACTAGCTAGCTCTCTAAATTATAGGTAACTAAACTAGTAAGGTTTCTTTACTATTATTACTATAACTTTATACTATAAGTTATAATTTCTTATATAGCTTATTATTTTTGCCTTTAACTTTATTAATAAGGTAAAATTTAAAGATATAGCCCTAGTAAACAAAAGGATTATATATAATAATCTTAAATATACTATAGTTAATAAGGCCTTAGATCTTACTTTTACCTAACTATTTAAAAGGCTTACTAGGTGTAGTAATAATGCCTTAGTTATATAGTTATTACGCAAGTGCTAGGTCTACTTCCTCTTTAGCTAAGAGGAAGGCGCTAGAGGGTTTATCTGTTTTCTATAGTAGTATATTAACTAGGGTCTTATGTAGTTACCTATAGGTATACTATAGAAAAAGAGAGGTTACTGTTTAGACAGGTTTTCTTGTTCTTATAGTAATAATAATAGTATCCTCTATATGTTTACTAGTATAGTTAGTATCTATAGGTTAGTTAGGTTAAAGATTTACGTTAGTAGGCTTATCTACTTCCTTCTTAGTATAGTAGGGTTTAACTAAGGTAAAACAGAAGTTATATAGGCTATTAATATTAATAGTGTAATCCTTACTATTAATAAATAGTAGGTAGTATAGGCTAGACTATTTACCCTTCTTATGCTATACTTATACTTTACTACCTAACAGTAGGTCTTTAATAGTAAAGGTATCTAGGCTATTATATACCTTAAGTGCCTTATAAACTTAGTGTGTTATATAGCTTTTATAGAGGTTATTAGTAGCCTTTTATATAGTAGTTACCTATTAGATAATATTAAGTAAAAAGGTAAAGTTAGTAGTTATATAAGGGTAAGTACTAAATACTAAGAGGGTTAGTATAAGGCTATTAGGGCCTATAGTGTTATTAACTACTTTAACTACACTCTAAAGAATAGATTCTTAGTTAGTAGTTAAGTACTCCTTGTATATAATTTTATAGGCCTATTAAAGCACTATATAGTATTATTTAACCTTTTTAACGCTATAGTATACCTTAATAGGAATAATCTTGACTTTAACGCTTATTGCGTAGGCTTTATATAAAAATTTAGTTATAGTAAAGTTCCTGCCTACGTTAGTAATAATCTAGTCTAGAGGTCCTTAGTAAACGTTAATCTAGTAGTAATAAAGTGCCTTTTATATAGTCTTTATAGAAATATTATAAAGAAAGTATACTATATTAAAGGTAGTTATAGTATTAATAATATAAAGAACTAGTTAGTTACCTTTAAGGTATATAATATTAATAATAACCTTATAGTTAAAAGAGTAGTTATTATATAGGGTAAATTTAAATTATAAAGGTGCCTTTCTATAAAGCTAGTAGTAATAGTAGTATTTAGTTAAGTGCTTAATAGCCTTAACCTTAACCTTATAACTAGCCTTATAAAGGACCTTATAAAGACAGTAGACTAATAGGTACCTAAATTATTAGTAAAGTTACTATAACTCTATATTAGTTAAGTAGTAACTAGCAAGGCTACGCTTAGGTAGGCTAAAGAGTATCTATAGATACCTTTATTTTTATATAACTAGTACTATAATATTACCTTATTAAAAGGTATTTTTAAGGTTATTAAAGTAAATAAATAGTTAATCTATATCTACTAGGTAGAGCAAGAAGGGTATATTTATAGGTATTATATAAAAAATAATAGGCCTAAATAATATACTAACTATAATAGTGCCCTTTAAGTAAATAGTGTTACTACTACTAAACTAGATCTTTACTTAGCTAGCAGTAGTTATATTAATAGTTGCTAATAGTTAGATCTACTATAATGTAGTTACTTATAGGTAACTAGTAGTAGAAAAGGTTACTATACCTATATTAGGTAAAATACCTTAAAAGGTGCCTAATAAGTAATAATCTAATATAAAAGAGGTAGCTAGATTTAATAATGCTACACTAGGGTTATCCTTTGTTAACTAGTAATAGATAGCTTAGTTAGCTAGGCTAAAGGTAAGCTTATTACTACTAAAGGTAGTACTACTAAAGAATATAGTAAAGGTATAAAAGGTATTACTTTTTAGTTTATTTTTACTGCTTTTAAGAGCGTAGTTACCTTAAAGGTAGTAACTAAGATCTTTATTATTATCTTTATTACTTTCTTCTTTCTATAAGTAACTGCCTTTATAGCTAATAAGAAAGGTTTAATATATAGTTAATAAAAAGTCTTTTACTTAGTAGTTGTTTTTAAATTATTAATATACCTTATATTACTTATTAGTAGTATATTTTATTAACTAATAACTAAGCTTATAGTAGACGTAGTACTTCTTAGTATTATAGTTACTATTATTATTACTATAATAGTTGCTATTACTATAGTTATTACTAAACCACTAGTTATACCCTTAGCTACAGTAGGTATAGTTAACCTAGTATTAATTATTAAGGTCTACCTAGTACTAGCTAACCTTATTATTATATTTTATTATAGTACTTACTAATAACTATAGTTAGTTATAGACTTCTTCTAATATAGGCACTAGATTAAATAGGTATAATTTACACTTATAAACTCTAGAGTAAGTATTTAATAGCTAGGATTAAAGGACTTTATTATTATAGTAGCTATTAGGTAACACTTACT